AAAATCAAATTGTATCAAAGTTTCAGATGATTGAATTAATCGAGGAGATCAGCTGTTTCATAGTCCATGGGGTCGGTCTGCTCATTTGTGGTGTTCTCATCATCAAGGAGGTCGTCACCTTCCAGATTAGCAGCATCGACTGGCTGAGTCATGTTGGCTTCAGCAGGAGCTTTTCCGTACTTCTGGTATAGATCGCAGTGGATCTTGGGGGTGCGACATTGCTTTGTTGGGTGGTTGAACATCCCACATCTGGTACAAGCAGAGTGATCGGGGTTGGTGTGGCGGGTCGGCTTGGTGATGCCTCGACCACGACCAGGACCATAACTGAGGTTAGGTCGGTTGCCATGACCATGTCCGCGTCCACGTCTTCCACGTCCATGTCCTCGGCCATTACCACGTCCATTACCACGTCCACGGCGGTGATCTGAGGATCTATCGGGTTGAACATGGTAGGACTCTTGACGAGAAGCTGGGACAGGAGCCGATCCCGGGGGCCTCATAGCGCTGTTCCTCATAAGCAGCTGGTTATTCTTCTCAGCGAGGAGAAGACAGGACAACAAGTCTTCGTACAATGTGTGTTTCATTGCACGGTATTGTTGTTGGAGCACAACATTCTCTGTGCTGAATGTGGATAATGTTTTCTCGAGGAGATCATTATCTGTCACATCCTCGCCACAGAGTTTCCGGATGGCAACAATACGAAAGAGTTCGTTGTTGTAATCATCTACGGATTTGTAGTCCTGGAACCGAAGGTTCTTCCAGTCGAAATCTGCCTGAGGCAACTGGACCATTTTCTGATGGTCATATCGCTTTTTCAGCGCTTGCCACAATTCAAGTGGATTCTCAAGAGTGAGATATTGCTGCTTAAGGCTCGGGGCCAGATGATGGCGTATGTGACATATCGCCTGAGACTGTCCCTTACGGGATGCGGTGTTACCGTCGGTAATACACGCATCGAGTTCTTTCGATGCAAGGAACAAGCGCATGTCTAGGGCCCACTCGAGGTAGTTATCCCCGGAGACGTGAAGGGCCTCGAATTCACATTTCTGAATGTTTGACATCTGAAACATGAGATTGATTTTGTTAGGGATTGTTTTGAGAAAATTTTGAATGCTGATGATGAAACTTTCTATTTTGAGAATATTTCTATTTGAGGAAAGTTTCTAAATTTGGAAAGTTTCTAATTTGGGTAATTTTCTAAATGAGGAAAGTTTCTATGTCGGGAAAATTTCTATATGAGGAAAGTTTTTATATGAGGAAACTTTCTATTAGAGGGAACTTTCTCGGAAATAGTAAATTTTAAAGGGTATGGTTTTAGTTACCCCGAACATGATGTCGGTTTAATAGCTGTGATTTAATCGGTTAAAGCCGAATATAATTTCGGTTAATGAGAACCAGGTTTAGCCGGTTTTAGGCGGTTTAGGAGGAACCCTAGGGGAGCCGAATATGATTAGGGTTTTATCTAGGGTTTTAACGGTTTGGAAAACATATTTTGGATGTGATTTCGAGATCTATAGGATCTGTGGTCGATGGTTTTCATAATTTCACAAGGACAACAAAGAAATCACGTGAAAAGGAGTAGGGTTTAAGCATTATGACTTACGATTTTGAAGATTACAAAATCGTGAATCAAGCTTAGGATTTAGGGTTGATTTTCTTAGTTTATTCAATCAAGTGTTTCAAGCAAGAGAATCAACAATCAAATAAGCTGCAACAAGCTTATTAAACATGAAGAAAATCGAATAGGTTTATGCCATAAACATGGCCAAAAACGGTTGTTAGGTTTTTGTAGATTAGGGTTTTATAAAACGAGTTTAAAACCTTTGAACATGCATAAACTTGTAATTTAAACAATCAATCAATAAGTTATCAATCAATCATCAGAGTATCAAACACTTTCAATCAATTAGAGATCGATTTTTTTTTTCTTTTTTTTATAGGGTTTTGAAGTGTTTAAACAACAGGTTCTATGGCTTTCAGTTTTAGAAGATACATTTTCCACCTTTGGATTTCTGACAGGCTAATGAAACTGGGAGCTAATAGACCTCAGTTAGTCGCTACAAATTCCAAGGATTGATCACCAAAACTGGAGAAGCTGCTGGTTGAAGAAGGAAAAACTCGGATCTGGTTTTTTTTTTTTTTTTTCGGTTGATCGTCGTATACTGTAAGTGTGCGTGAGGGCGCGTCCGACGTTGGATCGACAAACGGTTTTCACCAGTAGATTTGTCTCGTCGAGGGCTTCGATTTGATATGTAGATCGTCTTCTGGTTCCTCACGGTTTGGAAGATATGCGTCTTTTAAGTTTCGACTTGCTTTTAGGGTTTTGGTGGTGGCCGGATTTATTAGGGTTTTTCACTCAGAGAGTCTTATCGTGCTGATAACGTGTTGTGAAAACTTCTTAGAAACTTTATTAATCACTGGAATATATATATAGAGTACATAGGGAATCTAGGTTAAGTACAATGCCCTGATGGGCCTAATGGGCCGGTATAAGAGTCCATATATGATATGTGTTATAACATTTTGATATTTTTTGTTTGTTTGTTTGTTAATAACCTGTATTACATGCGTCTGAATTCATATGATATGATAACACATCAATAGTTTCAACTATTAGCCTACATGTTTCGGTTATTTGGTTTTTCGATTGAATAAAAAATGTTGTTACGTTTGAATCTGTAGTTGTATTGCTCTTGCATATGAATGTTTTTGATTGTCGAAGAAATTGGATCAGGATTTATTGAAGTGAAAATTAAGAATCTATGACTGAGACGAGAGGAGGTTGTCATCTACTATTAGTAGTTGTATTGACTTTTCAAAAAAAACTAAAATGAATGTAAGCGCCATATTTGTTTTGTTGATCTTAAATATCGTAATAAAATCTTAAGTAAAGCTTGGTGTTTGGACTAGTGGTATGATTCTCGCTTCGGATGCGAGACGTCCCGAGTTCGATTATCGGAACACCCCTTTTGTAAACATTATTTTCCTTGTCGTTTCCGTTTGAATTGGGCCTTGGAGTTGGAGAATCAAACATCGAAAACCATTTTCTGCTCTCTTCTGTTTATCGTATAATATAGTTTCAATTAATTGGAACCAAAGTGGAAAGCCCAAGGAAATTACATTGAGAACTCACCCATCTCCCAAACAAACTTCTTTCAAGATAATGCGAATACCCGTTGATTATTACTTATTAGTGTACTACTTCTTTCATTTATCAAATTTTAGCCAGTTCTTCTACTTATATCTCTGTTACACTATTTGTCTTTAATTAAAGAAGAATGGTACACGAACACCATCCCAAGAAACCAATAGTGGATGAAGCTTTTGCAGAAATGCAGAATCATGGTACAATAGGCTCCAAAGAGTAACATGAATAAGAAAAGAAGAAAAGGAAAAAGAGGAACACGAATATGAGATGGCCGTCCCGTCTTGACCAAAATATATATATATATATATATATATATATATAAGAGTTAGCCGATAAAAAACTAAAATAAATCATTGTTCAAAAAATCGTTAGGCAGTGCCTAGGTTGAAAATCGGTAATTAATCGCTGATTAATCGGTGATTAATTTTTTGATTAATTTATATTAAATTTAATTTTTAATTATTTATATTAATTTTTATATTAATTTTTATTGATTTTAGGCCAATTTCAGAAAAAAAATGGAAATTTTATTAATAAAGTTGGATCAATTTCAATTTTTTGAATTTTTTTGGGTTAATTTTCAAAAATTAGGTGATATTTTATTTTTTTATCGGATTTAGACGGTTTTAGGCAGTTCTAAGCGGTCTTAGGCGGTGAAAAATCGGAGAACCGCCTAAAGCCGCCGCCTAACACCTAGTCGGGGCAGTTACCCATCGCCTAGCGCCTAAGCAACCGCTTAGGCGGCTGGGCGGCAGAGTTTTAGAACACAATACACTAGACCTCTATGTTGCAATAGATAAAGCTAATTATATTTATATATAAACATAGAGCCAAACACAATTCTTGAAAGAAAAAAAAGAGAGTTGAATATGGAACAGCAGCAAGTATGGAGTCCCATCTTTGTATTATAATGTTTTCCAGTTCATGAGTATTTGTATCACTGCACCAAATTTAGTTTTTTTTTAAAAAAAAAAACTCAATATATCGATAATTATTCTGTTTCTCGCACAACAAACTCTCAGATCATCATTACCGGGGTTTCTAAACCCAATTTCTTAATCATTTAGTTAAAAAATAAATAAATCAAAAATAAGAAATTTCAGAAAAATAATTCTTATTTGGGACCCAAAAAAATCAATTCTTACTTTTTAATGCTAAGTGTCTTGTTTGCATTGGTCAGAAAAAAAAAAGGACTGAAATATTTTATTTCTTCTCTTCTCTTTTTCATCTTCCTCCACCAAATTTCTCTTCTCCTTCGACGATTCTTTTTCTCCAACCAAGAATAAATCTCTTCTCCTCCGAAAAATCTCCGTCGCATGCATGTCTTCTGCAATTCGTCTTCCTGAAATCAAATCCTCGTTTTCTCCGTCGACGAAATCATCTCCGCCGAACCAATTGATCTTGCTAAAGTTTCTAAGAGTAGCTTAGAGGTTGCAAAATATGTAAAAACTGGATGATCTTTTAGTCATTGATCAGAAACGAAGAATCTCCATCACCTTTAGAAAACTATGTCAAGCTTAAGTCTGGATTAGCTAATTTTAGTCATTTTTTTTGTATATGTGATTAACTACTAATTTTAGTCATTTTTTATATATGTGATTGACTATTTTAAATAAAACATCTTTATTAACTTTTTTCTTCTCTAAGAAACGGACCATACAAAACATTAGATTTCTAAATAAGAATTCTTAACCCAAATTTCTTAATAAAAAATTGCTAAGAAATCTAATACAGGTTTCACCGATAACGATGGTCTCACAGAATTCTATATATTTAGGTTTGTTTCGAATAATTTTGAATATATGTTTAACAATGATAATTATTTTCTTTTTATTACTACTATCTACCAAAGTATAAAAAACGAGCTGAATACTATTTGTTAAAAAGAGATTAAATTGTCATAAGATGATAACTATCGTATCATCGCCTAGTTGTCTCTCCCAACGGCATTTTTATTAACTAATCACATTTTAAGCTAAGCCTCGGTTTAAGCAATAGCCTGTGAGCCCTACTAAGAAGCTTCAGATGATGCGAAAAAAGAAAAAGTTAAGGTGATATGATTAGTAGTAATCAAGGGATTACACGGCTAAACTTTCTGCATTCCTCAGTAGATCTCTGTTCTTGTCCCTGGCAGAAGAAAAACGTCGCCGGACACCACGAGAAGCAGTTTCCGGCGAGCTGCACGTTCGCTGACCCAGGCTTCAGCGTCATCAAAGGACCCGGTACGACTCCGAACAAGAAATTGCCGCCAAGTAAGAGTCTCTGAAACCCGGCAAAATCGGATCTTGGAGATACGGTTTTCCAGACGTACTGTGTCGGAATCATACCAGAGAAGCTATTGTTCTCTAACGACAAAGCTGAGAGCTTTGGTAATAGACCCATGAACAGAGGCAACGCGCCTTGGACCTGGTTGTTGCTGAGATCCACGGATATCAGCTCGCTGGGGAGACCCAAGGGCGAGTAGTAAGGTGAGTCTAAAGAGGTGAAGCCATTGAAGGAGAGAGTTAGCTGTTGCAGAGTTTGATGAGTGAAGATGAATGATGGGATTGAGCCACTGAGTTTGTTGTGGCTAAGATCCAAAACTTCAAGAGACTTCAAAAGTTTGAAGCTTTCCGGGATCGTTCCTTGGATTTTGTTGTTCCGCATGGAGATTTGCAGTACTGATCCGGGTAACGACGACGGGACCCGACCCGAGATCCGGTTATCGCTCGCGTCGATGTAATACAGGTTCTTGAGCGAGCTCAGATCAGGGAGTTCGCCGGAGATGTTGTTGAGCTGGATTTCAAGCCGTTTCAGGCTGGTGAGGCCGTTAAAACTCGCCGGAACAGAGCCGTCGAGTCGGTTGTTGTCGAGGAGGAGCTCCTCTAGACCCGACATCGACCCGAGAGAATCGGGTATGGATCCTGAGAAGGAGTTTCCGGAAACGGAGAGGCTGGTGAGGCGGGTGAGATTGGAGAGAGAGTCGGGAAGTGGACCGGAGAAGTAGTTGCCGGAGAGGTCGAGGGTCTGAAGATAAGGGAAGTTGAAGGAGACGGAGGAAAGGGAGCCGGAGTAACCGGCTTTGTCGAGACTGAGCTCCGTGACCCGACCCGATCCGGAAACGACGGAGTCGCAACGGAAACCGCAAGTGAATGTCTCGCCGAACAAACCGTCGCAGGGATCGACGGAGAAATCCCAGGAACTGAGACAAGAACCAGGGCTCATCGATTTGGCATCGACCGAGTTCTTGAAATCTTTAAGAGCTGCCACGTCAGCCCAGAATGTCTTGGACTCTGCTGAAGAGAAAACGAGCAAAAGAAGAAGAAGAAGAGAAAGAAGAAGAAGAAGAGAAAGAAGAGAAGCCATGTTTGGCTTCTGAAACAGCCTGAAGAAGAAGAAGAAGAAGAAGAAGAAGAAGAGTTTGGAGTGAAAAAGGACCGTTGAATGAGAGGAGCAAGGTGTGTGATAGATCTACTGATCGCAGAGACAGAAGAATTTATATAATGAGATAGATATTATTATATACATGTAAAATTCTATCATGTGTGTGATGGTCCATCAGACATATGCATGAAGACAACTACTGTACAGTGAGGTGTGTTTGGCCCTATCAAAATCCACCATAACTCAGATGTAAGAGAGCTTTAGATTCTTCCCTTTAGATTCCAAAGCAGAACAACTCGTGAATTCGGATTACTAGACATATTTACCAATTCACAAGTCATACATAGACAAATTTGGTAAAGAAATTAATTTTTTACTTTTAGTTGTCCTCTAAATATGACGTACCCATTTGACCACAAATTGTCAAAATCTAAAATTAAATTATTGGTTGTTGACAGAAAAAGTAATTATGAACCTTATAGGCAGCAAGGTTGGTGGAATAATGTGCAGCTATTGCAAGCAAAGGTTCCAAATCATTGGCTCTAACTAACTTAATTCTAAACTTTAGCCAGGTGAGACGTTTAAATCACGCTTGATTGGTGATTAAGACTATGCAGAGAGTGGTAGAGCAAAAGGTACTAACAATAATCTATTCGCACCATCTAAATTTGGTGTCGTCCTCGCTAATTCCCAGTGTGCTGTTCTTCAAGAATTGTCTCACCGCTTCTCTGTTAATCTTGAAAACTAAGAGTATTCCTCTGATCTGCACAACTTGGGAGTTTTAGTTATAGAATGATGCAAAAACGTGCATTTACAAAGCATAATCTAGTGCTTACATCGACTGAACTACTTGACGTGAGGGATACAATCTGTCCTGTATTGAGCTTCTCCCCATTGACAAGCATATGTCGCTTTCCAAGGTTCTTCAGAGAGAATGATCCGTTGTTCTCTAGCTTCACCAGTGCCTAGGAAATATATGAAGAAAGAAAATTATAGCACATATAAATTCTGGTAATTAAGAAGTTGATCAGTGAACTAAACTAACTTTGGGAAAGGAAAAGAGAAACACCTGACGCCGAGATATCTTCCTCCCATAACCATATTTACCCAAGTCAATGTCAACATTTATGCCACCATATGATCTCCCAATAATTACCTTTGACAGTTAATGAGCTTGTGCCATGTAATTTAGAGTACTTGCATAGGATATGGAAACTTTATGACACTAGAAACTGATTTGTCTTACATACCTCGTGTTTTCTAATAAAATGCTTTGAATCACGACTATGCAGGACAGCTATTGCCCCTTGAGACATAATTCCTCTACGAATTGAAGTCCTTGAGCAGTGTTCCAATCCAAGTAATGTATGTCTTTGATGCGTAGACATGTTCCAATCTAGAAATCATAGAGCGGACCATTACTGAGACATCTAAAGCTTAAGAGAGACATAACATAAATGTTCTTTAGAATTCTTGTAGATGCTACAAAGTGAACAAGCAATATGTTTGGACAACAAACGCCATATGAGTTACCTTCCTTGTTCAAGCATAAATCTGAATCATCCGGGATCAGATTCAATTTGCGTATCTGGAGATATTTCCAAGAAAAAGTCAGAGATGGAAAAACACATGTAAGGATAAAATTAGACAGGCTTGTGTCAAGAGCATAATCAAGTTTTACCATTGCATCAATGTCAGAGAAGGAAAGCTCATCTTCACCATCAATTTCGTCTTCCTGGTATAGAGTTGATGGGGTTTGAGAAAGTTGTGCATCCCTGCCCTCAGAGCTACTAACATTCACATATAATTGTTCATCCAAGGAACTACGAGCACCTGAACTATCTTCTAATAGAGGTATGTTTCTGACTGCGGCTAAAGAGCTACAAACTGACCACGGCCTACTAGGTCCTTCAAGGGTTTTCGTTACAGGTATTGGAGAGATTTCAAGGCCAATCTCATCATCATGACCGTTGCATTCATTGCATCTGAAAGTCTGATGAAGTGTAAAAGTTTCTGGCAATATGCTACTTGACCCACCATCGGGAGGAACACTGCTGATCGGTATTGGTTCATCGTTTTTATTCACGAGAATTAGGTTATCATTGCTGATCATTTCCTCCATAGATCCCTGCATGTTGGCTATATCTCCGTATCTAACTTCAGTTGCAGGTGGTGTGTCGCCATCATTCGTGAAGACATCAGAGTGGCATGAGATTTCTGGATCTTCTTTGTTGATACTGCTGCATAAACAAGAAACTTCATTTTTTTTCCGTTCTGAATTTTCATGACCAGGAAAAATCCGGGGATCAACGATATTTCGCAATTCATTTGGGGATGCAGTAACAAATGATAACACCTGATCTTCTTTTGACCTTACAGTACCAACATTCTCCTCGTTAACTTCTTCAGGAGATAAGATAGAATCCTGAGTTTCAGCAGACAACTTAGTAACAAGAATTCCTTCATCCTCAGAGGGACAAGGAGAGCTGCATATAGACAGAGATTTCGATCCGGTAAATTCACCTATCAGATCCTCGTCTTGTAGAACATGTTGTGATATAACATCAAATTCTGAACATTCAGATATGTCTGTGTCACTTCCAGTTATACCCTCATCATAATCGAAATCTGGAAACATATCATCATCATCATCATAAAGAGAGGTGTGCCTACAAGTTCTCTTTCTCATGACGCAGAAGAGACCATAGGGGATTTCAACTTTCCTCTTGGCATTGGGACTCTCCGATGTATAATCACCGGAAGCTTCAGTCGATAAAACATCCTGTCATGTGATCTTTCCAAACATTAGAAGAAAAATAGTCACGAATCGTCACAAGACTAAAATCAGAAATCTGTGTTCTGCAAATTGCTCCATTGGGAAACAAAATTACGAAATCCAGCCATGAAAATTAAACAACGATGTAATGTGAATGCGATAGTGAGAGATAAAAAAAGCCATTTTCAACTTTAGAGATTCTTAAACCTCTGAAGAGTTAGGGTTTTTGTGTAGTATCAAGGAGGAAAAAACATATATACATCTGTCGTCGAAATAAAGAATGAATTTTTGTCTGTTTTCGACATAATCGCTTCATGTCTGCAACACAATAGAAAGGAAATAGAGATTGATAGAGACGCACGAAGTGATCATCGTCTTCATCTTCAGCCTCCATTGCGCGCTAATCTTCTTTCTAAGCGACGAATGTTGATCGCCTGTGTTTTAAAATTCGTTTGGGAAAAATATAATTTCCATCAAATGGGGGTAAAGGAAAAACAATATGTCGTGCCGTTTTATGTTTACAATGTACGAATGCGCGCCGTCTACCTTGGAATGCTTTTCATTAGCTGATTGGCTTCCGATTGCAGATCGGGGAAAAAGAAAAGGCAGCCGTGGTTACTTGTTCGAGGAAGAACAATGGTCAATGGCTCCTCTAAATGGGTCATTTGTTGTTGGGTTCTTAACCCTTTTTGAAGCCCAGAAATAGTTTAATCTTTGCCCTGCTTCTTTTAGTTCACCTGGGGACAGTTTTTGTAACTATAAAGCTTGCCGTATGTGGTATATTAGAAAAAATGTAGTATAAAGCTTATGCTCTGATTGATAACAGTTTTGCGGAATGAATGACTGCAGAATTACGAAATAATTTTACAAAATGAAATAAATGATTTAAAACTCATTTTTCTGCATAAACGATTTAAAACACAAGTAACACGTTTAAAAAACACAGTTGGATTTCTTTCTTTGGTTATGAGATGCGTTTTCGCGTCCGAAGCAAGCTGCAAGATTTTTGCAACGGACTGCTCCGATTTTCTTGTCACGACGGAAAACCCGACATTGTGGCATTCATTTTCGTCGGAATTTAATGAGTTTAAAAACTTATCGTCTCTTTAGATCGTTTAACTTAGGCTTCGAACGGTGAACAAATATGGAATAATGCAGATTATGCAGATTATGCAGATAAAACAGAATCAATGCAAATCAAACAGATTATGCAGATCAATAAAAACATAAATATAAATTAATAAAATAATTAGAAAATAGAAAAGAAATGTTGAGTGAACATGTCCAAAAATGATGCAGTCCATTTTTTATTCAGTATGAAGAGTAATATAGATCTGCATGCAGATTATCATTTTTTATTCTAGTTTTGATCTGTGTTTTTTAAGACATGAATGGTAAATAAAATGCAGATGGTCCTTACATGCAGTTACTCTGTGTTTTTGCTGCATCCCATTCAAAGTCTTAATTTATGTTCCAGTAACGTACGTGCTGATAAACTTGCAAAAGAAGCAAGAGCACGAGACCTAAAATTCTCTTATGTAAATTCATCGGTGCCAACTTGAGTGTCCCTAAAAAATAGTTTTTATCTTAATGTTAATAAAATGGAGTTTTTGAGGAAAAAAAAGACGCAGGTTACCAATCAAAGCTTTAATCTACAAAAAAATTATTTAATGGATTAACACTGACAAAATTTACCCAAAAAATCGGAGATCAAATGCTCTACAAACACTTCCAAAAACAGAAAAAAAGCAATTATAGAAACGTCTCCCGCGAAAAATAAACCATATTATTTACAAAACCTAAAAAAATGAAAAATATATAGATAGGAAGAGCCGGTGTCGGCCGGAGAAAAGAAAAAAGAGTAGATAGATTCTAATTACGGCCCAGATTTTGGTTCCAGTTAAATCATTTCATCATTAGCTGCTCAATAATATACCCATGTCGTCTTTTTATACAACCAATAGTCCAATTCCATAAAAATCTCCGTCCATTGAATAAAAAAAGCAAAGCGACAATACTAGCTTTTGTCGTTTATGGAGGTCCTCAATTTCCAATTTTTCCTTTTAAAAAATATAACAAATCATGACGAAATACATAAATATATAAATATAAATATAAATTACATGAAAAAGAAAAGGAAGAAGAAGAAGAAGAGAACATCATGAAATGAAAACAGACAAAGAGCGGATCAGATGTCAAGTCAACTTCTTTCTTCCCTCACTCCACAATCTTCACTAACACAGACCAAAACTTCTTCCTTCTTCTTCTTCGATTTAACCCCATTGATTCGCTTTCTCTAAGTCCGGAAATGGACCCGGATATTTCTAACCGGAAGGAGTCTCGGGTCGATTCTTCTGCGTCGGGACATCCTGATTCGAGACGCGATTCATCCGATTGCGGCGGTGGTGGTGGTGGCGGAGCGAGGTATAAGCTGATGTCTCCGGCGAAACTCCCGATCACGAGATCGACTTGCATCACTGTTCCTCCTGGTTTAAGTCCGACTTCGTTCCTGGAGTCTCCTGTTCTTCTCTCCAACATCAAGGTTAGTTAGTGAGTGAGTGAGTGAGTGTTCTTGTTAGACAAAGTCTCTTCCTTTTTGTAGAGAATCAGAGGCTATTTTCTGAGATGATTGCATTTTAAGATCTGAGGGTAAAAATTCGATCCAAATCACACTGTTTGTTTCTTTGGTCGCTTCGATTCTGATTCTTCACACTGTTCATATTGCGGTTCTTAATGTGCTTTCTTCCTTGTCTTACTTAATCTTTGGAGCTACGTTTCTTCCATTTTAGCTTTTTTTTTTTTTTTTAAACTCTCAGTGGAGAATGATTTCTAGGGTTTCTTAATTGGGGGTTCCATTATTTGGTGAAGATGCTTTTCTGCTTTTTTTGCCCAGAAAGGATAAAACTTTGACATTCGGTTTCCATATTTGTTTCTTTATCTTTTGGAAGTGCTTTATGGGAAAAAAAAAACCTAAACTAAACTAATAATTTTGCTGCTCGTGTTTAAGTACTTTGGCTCAGATTCTCATTCTTGCAATTACTAGAATAAACCCTTTTTCTCTCATCTTCCATCGATGTTGAATGCTTCTAATATATATGCCAGTCTTGTTCATCGGTTTTATGAGCCATTTTAAGATCAGAACGTTTCTTTTAGGATTGGTTCCTTTTAGACTCATTTTCTTTGAGCCTCAAGAGTCAGAGTGAGTTGATTCGGGTTTGATAATGTTGTTTCCTGTGTGTTGCTGATGAATTTTGGATAATGCGACATTTTTCTTTTTGAATTTCAGGCAGAACCTTCGCCTACTACTGGTTCATTGTTCAAGCCTCACGCAGTTCATGCTAATTCGAGTTCCTATACAGCAAGAACAATCCATCAGAATATCTTGGACGACCAAAAGTCCAGCGAATTTGAGTTTAGACCTCCTGCATCCAATATGGTAATATTATCTAAAGAAATGCTCCCTGGAGTATGAACATTTGAATGAGTTTTGGTTCATTGTTTGGTGTTGTGGTGTGTAGTTGTCTAAAACAGCTTTATTGATTTCAAGTTCTATGCAGAGCTAGACAAGCATAGAGGTGAAGCGCCACTCCAATTTCGAAGCCAATGCCACAGTTTCAAACACTCACCATCTTCAGCCACTGAGGCTGCAGCTTCCTCAAGCGAGATAACCCGACAAACTGTTCCTCATCGGACAACACCATCAGGCTCCGAGAGATCTGATCCAGATGAATCAATCCAGGCACCCCAACACGAGTCCAGAGGAAGTGCACCATCGATTTTGGCTGATGATGGATATAACTGGAGAAAATACGGTCAAAAGCACGTAAAAGGAAGTGAATTTCCACGGAGCTATTATAAATGCACACATCCTAATTGTGAAGTGAAAAAGCTATTCGAGAGGTCTCACGACGGACTGATTACAGAGATTGTATACAAGGGAACACATGACCATCCTAAACCTCAACCTAGTCGCCGGAACTCAGGTGGTCTTGTTATGCCGGTACAAGAAGAAAGGCTGGACAAGTATTCTTCTTTAAATGGCCGCGATGGTAAATATACATTAAAACTAGAGACACGTTTGTACTATTTTCCTTCAACATCGTCCAACCTCATTTGTTACTTCTGCTCTACAGAGAAGGGATCTAGCTTATACAACTTGTCTCCTCCTGTCGATCAAAACGGTAATCCAGATGTATCTCCCGTCTCTGCAAATGATGATGGTGGAGACGTTGCACGGAACAACGATGAAGTTGACGACAATGATCCATTCTCAAAACGAAGGTATTAGAATTAAACCAAAGGTTTAAGGTTACTTGCTTTGGAAAATGTGTTTTGACACACACACTGGATGCTTTCTTGTGAGTTTTATGCAGGAGGTTGGATGGGGCCATGGAAATAACTTCACTTGTGAAACCCATAAGAGAGCCTCGCGTTGTTGTTCAAACTCTGAGTGAAGTTGACATATTGGATGATGGGTATAGGTGGCGTAAATACGGGCAGAAAGTTGTAAGAGGCAACCCTAATCCCAGGTTCGTACACAAGAAAGACATAACTAAACTTCTTGCTATCTACTCGGATACACATTTAAGAACTAGAGCTATACTAACTGAGTCTATATATCACTGTTAGTTGAATATAATGTCTATGAAAAAACTCGATTTTAGAAACTTAACAGTTACGGTTACTACATGTGAGTCAAATGGAGATGGTCTAGCTGATTCTGCTCAGATTTATCTATGTATGACGATTGGAGTTTTCATGTAACTTTGATTGGGCTAATGTAGGAGCTATTACAAATGCACGGCTACTGGATGCCCAGTGAGAAAACATGTGGAGAGAGCATCGCACGATCCAAAAGCTGTTATAACCACATACGAAGGCAAACACAATCACGATGTACCAACGGCAAGGTCTAACAACAACAACAACAACAACCATGACATGACAGCACCCAGATTCAGAACAGAAGAGAGCACGGACACAATCAGCCTCGACTTGGGTGTTGGAATCGCATCTGGCGGTCCTGACCATACATCAAACGAGCATTCTTCACATCAGCAACAACAACAACAACAACATCACATTCGTTCTGAATTTGTACAACAAACTCAAACCAATGGTTCTGGTGGATTCAGGTTTGTTCATGGACCTCCCATGGGACCCTACTATGCTAATAGCTTAAACGCCGGTATGAATCATCAATATAATGGCTCGAGAGAGACCGCAAACGAGGCTCAAACAGGTGACATCTCGTCCTCTTACCCGTATCCACATAACATAGGGAGAATACAATCTGGTCCCTAGAAGAGAATGGTCTCAACAAGCCACACAAGAAAAGTAAAACAAAGGCACTTTGCGTCCATTCTTTATCTTGATTCTTCTTAGGTTAGGAATGGAACAAGATTGTTCTCTGTAATCTATGATTTATATATATGTATGTATATCATGATGACACACTAAGATAGAGAGAGAGATACTTGTCTTGATTTTAAACCATCTCTCAACATATTTGTTTGTTTTTTTTTAGATTCCAAAATGTGTTGTAAAAATACACATATATTTAAATGTAAGCGAGAGAGTCCTCTTTTTGATTCATCATCAGCCTGTAAAGAACCTTCTCCATGACTGCCATGGAAGAAACCCACCTGCAAACAGAACAGAAATAAACAAGATCCAAACAAAAATCACTGAAGCTTCTTGTCTGAACTTTCCTCAAAACGTAAAAAAAGAAGAAGAGAGAAATCGAAGTTTACCACATCCGGGACAACGAAAGTATTTTTTGTCTCTAAAAACAAGTCCTGATCCTTTACATTCTTCACATCTCTTCTGTGCAATCTAAAACCAAAACTCAATTTCAATGGACAATGGCAAATATATAAACACGTGTGTGTATACATGTATAAAATATCTTAGTCACATACTATTCTTTTGCTGAATTCGACACCTGCAACAACGAAGGGTGTGACTCCAGCTGCAAGATCACATTGATTCGCATCAGAACATTACATTTTTAATTGATTAATTTACATCACTTGTTAGCTAAATTACCGATAGTTCCGACTATAATCTGCCACGTAATCTCCGATTTGCCCGTCTCCACCACCGTGTCAGCGAGTTCGCCGAGAGCCGAAGGCGTTCCGAGCCGTCGAGTACTTACTACCATCAAACCGTGGCTTCTTCCTCTACTACTTACCGGAGAAACGAAACTAGCCGTCGATTTCATCTGACGAGGTCTTGATCCAACCGTCCACAGAGACGGAACTCGACACAGTGAAGAAGAAGAAGCTTCCATTATCGCCACCGTGACTCTCAGAAATCGAATTCTCCGACGGGTGGGGAAAATATTTCAGAAACGACCCGTTTAAATCAGGCCACGTCGACGGATTTCGGGTCGGGTTCGCGCCAACCACAAGAAGAATAAGAAGACTTCGTGTGGCTTTAGAAGCAGCGGATAAAAAAAATAGTATATTTTTAACAAGTCAAAAACGTTACCGTTTTGATCGGGAAACGAGTAAACGCCATTAATGTCTTTGTGTGAAGCTCAGTAAAGATTTTACCTTTGAATAAAAACATAAAATTTGGATTTTAGGGTTTTAGGGTATATTCGATATAGCCCCTTATTGGATAATCTCTCTGTTACATTATCCTCTTTCTGCCGAAAATGGCGGGTTTCTCTTTGTACTGCCTTATAAACCCACCAATCCTCTTTACTCTTCCGTCGGAGTCGCCTCTCTCTGTTTTGGGTTCCGGAAAAGATTCGCCGGCGACGAGACGGAGAGCCAGAAAGATCGGTGAGCTCGTCGTATCGTACGCGCACTCTAACCCGAAGATAATCAACCCGAAGAAGAAGTCAAGGTATGGTCAAACGTTATCTCCATACGACAGTGATGAAGAAGAAGAGCTACATGATGAAAGTGATGATGATGACTGGTTACTCAATGTCAGTTCCTTTACTCTTCATCGATTTTTCTTCACAAATTTTGTTGAAATTCTGGGATTCGAGTAAATGATGTGTGATTTGAGCTTTGAAGTTGGGGAATTTAGCATAATTTAGCTTGGTTCTTCAGTGAATTCTTGATTTTTGTGGTTCTTCATGGGTGTGTGATTAGTGGAACTAGTTAAAAAGAGTGAAATTTGGGTTTTTTTTCATGTTTTCTTAAGGATGACTTCGCAGAGGTCACAGAGTATGAAAAGAAGAAACCTAAGTCACAGAAGCAAACCATTGCTAAGAAAGGTTTGTGTATTCTTGGAAGCTGTTATAAATAGAACTTGAGACTGATTTGAATCTGCTTTTACAGAAAAAATACTTGAATATCATATTGCTGTAGATTTGCTAAAATATGGGTTTGCTAATGTGAAGGTGGGAAGAAGGTGATCGTGAAAAGTTGGGAAACACCGGAAGAGAGCGAGACTGATGAAGACGACTTGAATATTGGCATTACTCAAAATGCCTCTGAAAAAAAGAAGAAGATGGAGAAGGACTCTTGGCGTTTAGATGGTCGCGGAAAGGTAATACATTGCACAAATTCCTCTGGTGGAGACGAAGATAGAGTTGAGAAAGCAACTTAGCTTTTTTTCTTTCATTCATTAGGTGAGCTCGAGGAAATATGTCGAGAAACTATACCCTCGACTCTCAGAAGAGATCGATATAGATCCTAAATGGGTACCGCTCCTGGATTACTTGAGCACATTTGGTCTGAAAGAATCACACTTTGTTCAAATGTACGAGAGACACATGCCATCCCTTCAGATTAATGTGTTATCAGCGCAAGAGAGACTCGATTACTTGTTGAGTGTCGGTGTTAAACACAGAGATATCAAGAGGATGCTGTTGAGACAACCACAGATACTTCAATACACGGTTGAGAACAATCTCAAAGCTCACATTTCCTTTCTGATGGGTCTTGGAATTCCCAATTCCAAAATAGGACAGATAGTTGCTGTAACTCCATCTCTGTTCTCTTACAGTGTCGAAAATTCCCTGAGACCCACGATAAGGTATTTGATCGAAGAGGTTGGGATAAACGAAAACGATGTTGGAAAAGTCGTGCAACTTAGCCCTCAGATTCTGATCCAGAGGCTTGACATAACAATGGAACAACTCGTTACATGTTCCTCTTCCAAGGAGTTAGGAGCACCTAGAGACAGTGTAGTGAAGATGGTGAAGAAACATCCGCAGCTTCTTCATTACAGTATCGATGACGGATTCTTGCCACGGATCAATTTTCTTAGAAGCATTGGCATGTGCAATTCTGATATATTGAAAGTCTTAACTAGCCTTACACAGGTTAGTAGATTTCTTGATTCATTTTCAAACTTGAATATCTTGAGTTTTGCTCAGAAAATACTTCTCAAATTGGTCTTAATAGGTTTTGTCTCTCTCACTGGAAGATAATCTAAAGCCTAAGTACATGTATTTGGTCAATGAGCTCAAGAATGAAGTGCACATTTTGACTAAATACCCAATGTACCTGAGCTTGTCCTTGGATCAAAGGATACGCCCGCGCCACCGCTTCTTGGTTGAGTTGAAGAAAGTGCGGAAAGGGCCATTCCCTCTTAGCTCATTGGTTCCAAACGATGAAAGCTTTTGTCAGCAATGGGCTGGAACTAGTGTAGATAAGTATCTCGCCTTTCGTCAGAGGCTATTACTCAAGGAGCTCGCAAACAAGTATGAAAAGAGAGGATGATGATTATGATGACGATGGATTTCTCTTGTCCCTGTTTACAATCAACGAGTCTACAGTTTAGTTCATGAGCACAACTGTGTATGACCATTAACTTCTGGTGAAACACGATACACAGTTTCTGCAAGTTAGAAACATTTACAGGAAAAGAGACTCCAGAGAAACCGGCGTGGCAACAGACATCATTCATTTTTTTGTTTACCAGATGAGAGTTTCAGCAATCTTTTCCGGGTTTTGTCTACACTTCAAGTTCTGCAATTTGCAATGTTTTGTGGTAAAGTTTTAACTCTTCTTATTTGTTTTCTCTTCTGTCTAGTAAATCATGGAAAAGAGAAACACAGTCTATATGTAATGTTTTTTGGCCTCATTTATAGTTCAGCCTAAGGAACATCTTATAAAGTTTTGTTATGGTTTGATCCTTTTGTAAAACAGAGGTTGAAGAAAAGATTCAAGTTATGTAAATTGAGTTTCATCTTGCTTTTTCACTTCTATTCTATTTCATGTCTTTTTTGTTCAATAGTTTTTTTCTTTTTCTTTTTGGAGCTAAATTTATAACTTCTCAGTGTCATGAAACTGAAAGACAGCATTGATGTGTGCTGTGTTGTGGGTGTCAAGTTTTACCCTAATTGAAATCAATAGCCGCAAGTGCACAGCTGATCAATTGTAGTACTTAGAGATCGAATCCACAGGGAAGGAAGATCTTTTGCTGCAAAAAGCCTTTGAAATAAGTTAAAGTAAGGAAGTCTAGAACAAAAACGGTTTAATGGGGGTTTGGTAGTGTGTTTAAAATCTAAAAACGAAATATTAAAAGAGAATACGAGAATTAAATGACGTAATAACTAGACTTAACGAAAATGACTAAAAATGATAAAACGGATATTCTAATGCTTAAATGAAAATGAACTAAAAAGGAAAGACAATATTGAACTAAAGCTTGAAAGAAAATCGGTGTAAATCAATGGAGAAGAAAGCATTGGGGTTCAGGGAAGTTTTCTCAGGGGTACGAACGATTCAAAACATTGCTAGAGAGTAAATTTTGTAAGATCTTAGCTTAAACTTTTTGAACTGGAGTCACGGACGTATGAATACGCCACTGTCGTGATCATAGACAACTATGTCTCTCAACCCTGACCAGTAGGTTTCCACTCTGGCCCTGGAAGAGAAGAGATGCATTATGTTTAAGACTCGTCCTAATTCACAAATCGCCCATAGGTAGGTTTCCACTCCTATGTTTGTTTTGCTCTCCCAAACTAGATCTGATACCTGATGAACACTTTCGTGTCACCAAGCATCTGGATCAGATTGTAGTTCATGACGCTATTCTCATGCAGTAAAAACGAATTCAGAAGAAAAAGTTCTAAGATTCAGCTTAATAGCCAATGGAATCCTCACCGAACATATATATCCCCATCGAAAATCCCTTAATCCAAACAATAAAACTACTCAGACATAATGAACGAAATCAAAGACATAATATTAAGAAGTAGAATAGAAACCGAAATTGAAAAAGAAAGAACAAGGGTTCAAGAGAACAAATCTCTCTCTCCCTAAAAGCTAAAGCAAAAACAATAAAAGTATGAAGTAAAGATAGATGGTATTCGGTTCCACCATTTTTAGGGCTCCTAAGACATGTATTTATAGTGCTCAAAACCTCTCTGGACGTCACCTAGGGTTTCTCCAAATGTGGGCTTCAGAAATGGGCTTTTTGGGCTCGGAGGTTGAAGGCCGCAATCGGGAGTGCTCTGACCGCGGGGAATGAGTGGTTTGCCGCGGTCGGGATGCTTCTGACCGCGGGAAAATGCTTGTTGGCCGCGGGTGAAAGTGCTGGCCAGCTGGTTTACGGGACATCTTGCTCTTCGCGTATCTTTTGATTGAACCGTTGGATTGCCAAGCTGTAAAGTGCACTGGAAAGCTGATACTTCCATCTTTAAAGTCTCCAAATTTGAGCTGGATCAGACGGTGAGAAGGCCTTCAATTAGGGGTGAACTTCTGACGGTTTAACTCTGAGCTAGCTGAAATCTGGTTTTCTATCCATTTTGTTAAGCTTTTCCCAAAGTTTCCTGAAAAGAGTCTTGGAACTACAAATACTAGAAAAACGTGATAAAAGTACTTAAAAGCAGTTAAAAACATAGAAAAAGTATTTCAAAACGATCCATAAAAGTGGTCAAAATACGGTGTTATCAACTCCCCCAGACTTAAACCTTTGTTTGTCCTCAAACAAAGCAAAAGCCTAAACTGGTTAAGTGAAAACAAAAATAGGGAATGCACAAATCTCATAGACATGAACTCCTCAACTAGGACCAAAGATAGTGCATCAATCCACAACTTAGTCTAGAAAATTCTCACCAAAGCACAAGAGATACTAGTCCACTTTTTCCGTCACGCAAAACTTAAACAATTTAAATCTTGATTTCAGTCAACTAGCTCTCTACATTCATTAAGTTCAATAGTGAGTTCTCATTAAAGACATCATCCATGGTAGACGGCGTTTGGCATTAAAGGGCTATTTAAGTGGTGGAGTTAAAGTGTTTCGGGTTACCTGAAGATATGGAGGATGCAAGATAATATGCAAACCGCAAGAGAAATAAGGACCTGTTGATGACCACAGTTTTCAATCACTTATTCTTGCCAAATGTTGTTGCATAATCCTTCCTCTTTTGTTGTAAACAGCTGTTCCCCCGGACTTAGATTCTTTTCGGGAATCAGAAAACAATCTCCAAAACTCCATAAAATCGAACTCCAGTTGCCTTGGGACTTAAAATTCGACCTCTCTAGACTCTCTAAGGCTTTTATCTCCTTTCTTTTCTTATTTTCGAATTTTTTTTTTTTTTAGGAAAGGAAATGCCTTTTAAAGAGAGAGAGAGACTAGAGGACGAGATTGTACCAAAGTTTGAGATTTTTCTAAAGCAAACTGAGTTTCTCTTGTATTGAATCCTTCCGGGAACTTTTCCGGCAAATCGCAGGTCTCTGTCCTTGGTGACTGAAAACTGCGTCATTCCTCTTTCTCTCCAACGTTTTTGCACTTATCTGCATATAAGACAATAGAAAACAAGAGTGCATGTTGTTTGAAAGAGGATTGGTTAAGGTGGGGAACTAGCTAAAGATGAACTAGCTATTCAGGATCAACAGAGAGTGGTAAAAGGATAAATGAGTCTTAAATGTATGATTCGTTTCCCTGGTCTAATGCTTCAATGAGAAAATTAAGTCCAAATTAAGTCCAAATAAAACAGAGCTAGTGTATCCCTTCATCTAAATCGAAATCATTCAAATTCCTCTGGGGTACTTCGTTTCAAATGTGCTTAGCTACCGCCTAGTCTAGTCCTAAATCATGAATGAGCATGTCACTAGAAACAGAGAGTAAAGCACACAGTCAACTATCATTGATTCATGTTCACCATTCCCTTTTAAACGTATTTTGTTTTGAAAACCAATTTTGAAAAACTTTAAAGAAAATGCAAAAAGTGTAGATAATGCAAGACTCATGAAAGAAAAGTGGTTAGAAAGGGATGAAATCCTCCCCCAGACTTAAATCACACTGTCCTCAGTGTGAAACAAGTCGAGATTGGATGAGAAAAATGCATAGATAATCGAATTGGTAAGAACAAAGAGAACTTACCTGGATCCGGGATGCTGGTGGAGATGAACCAGATTCATTCGAAGGGGTTTGGGAAGGTGATTAGGTGGTGATGAAGGTGGTGGAGGGTGATGAATGAGGTGGAGAGTGATTGGTGAGGTGAAATGAGGTGAAAGGGGTGGTTTGGGTCGGGCTTGGATGTCAACGACCAAGTGCCGCGGTCAGGGGCTGCACGACCGCGGTGAACCATTGCTTGGCCGTGGTCAGGACTACGCGACCGCGGTTGAAGGGGTGTTTCCCGCGGTCCGAACGTCTGCGACCGCGGGGGCTTATATCGCGGCCTCTTCCTGCTTCTCCTTGGTTCCTGCTGGGCCGAGCAGTCAGGTACCATCCTTCTTTTTGGATTTTTTTTTTGTTGGTTTTTTGATTTTTTTGGCTTTTTTGTTTTATAAGAAACACCTGAAACTAAGAAAAAGAAAAAGATCAAAAGAAAAAGAAAGAAAAATCATAAAGAAAACAATACCTAAATGGGTTGCCTCCCATTAAGCGCTTCTGTTTTAAGTCGTTTAGCTCGACTTTTGGTGTTGGACGTGACTTATTCCAATGAAGAAGACCTTGTCCTAGGACAAGTCTTTTTCGACATCTCCTTGCTTTGCTTAGCAGGTTCTTCGTCACTCCAAAGTTCTTCTTCAAACTCTTCTGTTGCAGAACGTTTTCCTGCTTTGCTGTTGTATGGAACAGCTTCTGTGAAGACATCTTTGTCGATATTAGCAAATGAAATCCTCCGGTTTGGCCAGTCCATTATAGCTCCAGAAGTTGCTAGAAAAGACCATCCCAGAATTACTGGATATGTTGCATCTCTCGTTTCGACAATGTAGAAGTCGACAGGCACTATGCAATCTCATATTCTCAAAGGAATTTCATGAGCTATTCCTTGAGGTGTTGCATTAGAATCATCACCTAGGCTAATCTTTGCTCTAGTCCTGCGCAGGTGTTTGATACCAAGTCTCAAAGCAATTGCCTTGGACATCATGTTAAGACAAGCTCCAGAATCACATAGCACGTTTTTAAACATTTCTTCTCTAATAGAACAAGAGAGAAGAAACTGACCTATACCTTCTATTTTATGAAGTGTTCGAACAGGTTTACCTCTTCTGGCATGATTGAACAAGTCTTCTATCTCAGGGATTGATTCTTTGCTCTCACAGAAGTAGTGGCCTATCATGAAGTCCTTGCAAGCTTTGGCAAACGTGATTCCTTCAGGTAAATTTCGAACCACATCATTGAATTCATCGAGCTTTTCTTTGCTGATTTTATTGGTGTAGTGGCTGCAGTCTTCTGGATTTTTGAAATGAATCGCATAGACAGCTGCTTCTGGTGTTGTCATGTATCGAGCTCTCATAAAGTATCTATGGATATCCTCTTTAGACTCCTTGCAGTACCTGAAAAAGACTTGCAAACGACCAAGTTTCCAGATTTCATCAAAGCTTAAATGAGCAGGGAATGACCTGACTACGTTGTTGAACTCCATTAGTTTTTCTCTACTGATGTTGTTGGTGATCCATTGAATCTCTCCTGAGTCGTCTTCTGAGGAATATCCTGTGTTTGGTTCTTCTACAAACAATTCATACTCTTCATCTTCAGAGTATTGCTCTTCATACTCATCTTCACAAGACAAAGCCATGTTGCAAGGTCATGACTTGTCCTCTTCTTCAGATCTTTCGGTGCTTATGGAGCAAACCAGTTGTTGTTGAAGTGGTTTAGTCATCCCAGGAGGTGTACCAGACGTACAGATGCTTGTATGAGCTGAACGGGACTGTTTTGGAACGTTTTTACGGTTGGCCTTGACTGCAGGTGATGCGACCATGGGGAAGCGACCACGCAGGCAGACCCATCACGACCGCGGGAGTTGGCTTCCTAGCCGCGGTCGGAGGTGACGCGACCGCGGGGATTCGTCTCCGAGTTGCTCTGCTGCTATTGCTTCCTCCTTTGCTTCCTGGATGGTCTCCTGGGTCTTCTGGCTTGATGTACTTCCTCTCTGGACTTGAGTCTTTAGTTTTGGTTGCTGGAATATGCTCTCCAAGTCCTTGCATGATCTCCTCAACCTTTTCTTCAACTTCATCAAGAGCATAGACTACTTTGTCCATGGTTGAGTCAAGCTTTTCGGTTTTGTCGATGACTTTGTAAACCTTCTCTGAAACTTCGACTGTAAAGTCATAAGACTCGTTCTTGGCTTCGTTTAGGGCTTTGTCCACGTCATCAAGTTTGAAATCCAGGTCCATGACTTTGTTTTTGGTGTTGCGAAGCTCATAGTTGTGCTTTGCTCGCTCTTCCTCCATGCTGTTGAACCTGTTAGCAATCATAGCTGCATCCTTGGTTGCACGTTCCTCTATTGAATTGTCATTGAAAAGTTTCGATATCCCATCAATCCTTTCGTTTAGAGCAGTTGTAGCGGTTGCTTGAGCTTCTATGAATTGTCTGATCACGCCTTCGAGCTGACTCAGTCTGTTGCTGAGCTGGACGTTCTCATCTTGCTGGAGAACCTGGTGAGGTAGGGGATACATAGAGTATCTAGGGTTTGCCATTTGAGGTGCGTAGGAATCCTTCTGGAAGGTTCTGTAGTCTTCGTGTTGAGTCTCTTCGTAGAGATTACGTAGATGCTTCTCTCTGCGTCTGGTGGCTTGAGGAGTGTTATAGAAACCTTCCTCATAGTGTATATTTCGATTTATAGGATCCATATCTTCTGAAATGGAAACAAAATAACCGAAAAATGGAAAGTTGCAGAAAAGGGGGTTCTAGAGTCGATTTACTAACCTTTCTCGGGGTTTTGCAGAAAAGAAAACGCGTGCCTTCCCCGGAAACGGCGCCAACAACTTGATGTGTGCTGTGTTGTGGGTGTCAAGTTTTACCCTAATTGAAATCAATAGCCGCAAGTGCACAGCTGATCAATTGTAGTACTTAGAGATCGAATCCACAGGGAAGGAGGATCTTTTGCTGCAAAAAGCCTTTGAAATAAGTTAAAATAAGGAAGTCTAGAACAAAAACGGTTTAGTGGGGGTTTGGTAGTGTGTTTAAAATCTAAAAACGAAATATTAAAAGAGAATACGAGAATTAAATGACGTAATAACTAAACTTAACGAAAATGACTAAAAATGATAAAAACGGATATTCTAATGCTTAAATGAAAATGAACTTAAAAGGAAAGACAATATTGAACTAAAGCTTGAAAGAGAATCGGTGTAAATTAATGGAGAAGAAAGCGTTGGGGTTCAGGGAAGTTTTCTCAGGTGTACGAACGATTCAAAACATTGCTAGAGAGTAAATTTTGTAAGATCTTAGCTTAAACTTTTCGAACTGGAGTCACGGAGTATGAATACGCCACTGTCGTGATCATAGACAACTATCTCTCTCAACCCTGACCAGTAGGTTTCCACTCTGGCCCTGGAAGAGAAGAGATGCATTATGTTTAAGACTCGTCCTAATTCACAAATCGCCCATAGGTAGGTTTCCACTCCTATGTTTGTTTTGCTCTCCCAAACTAGATCTGATACCTGATGAACACTTTCGTGTCACCAAGCATCTGGATCAGATTGTAGTTCATGACGCTACTCTCATGCAGTAAAAACGAATTCAGAAGAAAAATTTCTAAGATTCAGCTTAATAGCCAATGGAATCCTCACCGAACATATATATCCCCATCGAAAATCCCTTAATCCCAACAATAAAACTACTCAGACATAATGAACGAAATCAAAGACATAATATTAAGAAGTAGAATAGAAACCGAAATTGAAAAAGAAAGAACAAGGGTTCAAGAGAACAAATCTCTCTCTCCCTAAAAGCTAAAGCAAAAAACATAAAAGTATGAAGTAAAGATAGATGGTATTCGGTTCCACCATTTCTAGGGCTCTTAAGACATGTATTTATAGTGCTCAAGACCTCTCTGGACGTCACCTAGGATTTCTCCAAATGTGGGCTTCAGAAATGGGCTTTTTGGGCTCGGAGGTTGAAGGCCGCGGTCGGGAGTGCTCTGACCGGCCGCGGTCGGGAGTGCTCTGACCGCAGGGAATGAGTGGTTTGCCGCGGTCGGGATGCTCCTGACCGCGGGTGGAAGTACTGGCCAGCTGGTTTACGGGACATCTTGCTCTTCGCGTATCTTTTGATTGAACCGTTGGATTGCCAAGCTGTAAAGTGCACTTGAAAGCCGATACTTCCATCTTTAAGGTCTCCAAATTTGAGCTGGATCAGACGGTGAAAATGCCTTCAATCAGGGGTGAACTTCTGACGGTTTGACTCTGAGCTGAAATCTAGTTTTCTATCCATATTGTTAAGCTTTCCCCTAAGTTTCCTGAAAAGAGTCTTGGAACTATAAATACTAGAAAAACGTGATAAAAGTACTTAAAAGCAATTAAAAACATAGAAAAAGTATTTCAAAACGATCTATAAAAGTGGTCAAAATACGGTGTTAGCGGAAGTGTAGACTAAAACGGTGTTGTACGTTATGAAGTTATTTCGACTTCTTAAGCCAACTTAGGTAAATGACCCAAGCCACTACGAGAAGAGATGATTTTATGTCAAATGTATAATACGTTTACCAAATGAAACCATCTTTGCATTTGCATGAACACGAAACTCTTATGAGTAAACGTAACTCTAATATATTGATGGGATTGACATTAATTAATGCCAAACCCCCTCAAAATCATGTTTGTAATTTCATTCTTCTTTAATCACATCGCTAATTAATTATCTTCTAATTTGTCTTCATCTTTTCATTCTTTGTCGGTCTTTTACTTTTCTGTTCACTGAAGATAAAGATGATGCTGATGATACAGTATTATTAATCTAATAATTTCTTTTCCTAGATACTATATGAACTTGCTATATATTCATGCTCCATATAATAGGCATTTAACTTGTCCCATAAGTTCCTTTAGCTTCTGAAAATCTTTTTACATTAGAATACTTTTTTTGTTTTACACTGAGACAATAGTCAGAGCAATTATGTTTCAATTTAGTTATTTGAAAACGATAGAAAAGTAGTCAAACCAAAATCAACCTGTAAATTGGACTAGACATCTCTAAACTATTCTATTAAGGTGATACCATTCCAAAGCAACCAATTTTATACAGACACTCAAGTACAAATAAATAACATTTGGGGCACAATTAATTTCTTATTATGCATAGAAATTAAGATCTTACAAACTAAAAACTAAGCATAAAACATAATGATGAATTGAAAAACTTATTAACATAACTAAATATTTTCTGATAAATACATTATTACTAGAAAATAGCTAGAGATCTAGATTTTAGGATAAGAATGATTCATAATCAAATACATTTCTTATGATATGGTAGTTTAATCTTAGTTTGATCATATTCTCAAAATAATATTTTGTAATCATTGTTAGAATGATTTTAAGCTTATCTTCATAAAATATACTTCCAATAGTATAGAAGGTTCCTTTTAATTAACAAAAAAAACATTATCATAAAATTATAAAACGAAAAAAAAAAATGTTACTTAATGGAGATTGGAATGTCCGAAAATTTTATGTTTATCTTTTCATAAAACAATTAATAAATTGATTCTTATAATGGTTAAAATATAAAAATATTAAATTGTTACAAATACTGAAATAAATACAATAAATATTAAATGAAATAAATTATTTAGCTTGAGGATATATATATTCGATTAAGATTTAGAAGATGGTCGAGTTTATCTCATGAGGAGTTAAAAAAGAGTTAAAAGAAGAGAATACAACAGAAACAGAAAGAAGAGAGGCTCCTCGTATTTATTAAACCCATCTTTCTCACACGTCCTTTCACCTCCAAAGACTCTTCAAAAAAAAAAAAATCACTCCAAGTTTTCTTCTTTTAACTCACTCCCACTAGAGAGGGAGCAGAAGACAGAAATCTTAAAACGTTTTTCCAGGACTCGGAAAAAAAAAAACCACAATAAACTTTCTGTTTTCTTCTTCTGAATTCAGTTTCTTTTCATAAACAGTTCTCCATGAAAGTCAAAGCCTTTATTCCCGCGGTTATATTGCTCTGTTTTGGGGTTCTGTTGGGTTTAGGGACTTCGAGATTGTTGCAGATTACTGATGAAGGTAAGGAGTTGAGGAATTACATAAGTTGGGAAGACTTGAGAGTTGTGGAAGATGTCGAAACAAAGAGGAGTTCTAGCATCAAGGTGAACAATAATAACTGGTTGATATCAAACGCAAACGCAAACGCAAAGGCTACGAACGCGAGCAGAGTGATTGTGGTTGATAAGAAAGGAAGAGGAGACTCTGTTACAGTTCAAGGAGCTGTTGATATGGTTCCTGATTCCAATTCACAGAGAGTTAAAATCTTCATCCTTCCTGGAATTTACAGGTAAGTTATAAGATTCTTGATTAAAGACATAAACCGCGTTTTGTTTTCCTGATTTTTGTTTTTTGTCATGAGAAACGTCTTTAAGAGTGTGGGGGGGTTTTTTTTTTCTCCGAAAGATCTCGTCTTTCCTTCTTGTAAATTTCGATTTTTTTTTTTCTTTACGGAACGTTTTCTTTTTTTTTTTTATAATAAAAGCAGTTAAAGCTTAATACTTGGGTTAGTGGGAACATCAGCTACGTGGGTAGTTTTTGTAATACAACTCTCTCTCTCCTCTGTCTGCATATCTCTATATTCCCTCTCTCTCCTCTGTCTACATCTCTCTATATTCTCTCTCTAACATCTGTCCAAAATCGTGGGTCAAACACTGCTTCTCAGAATCTTTGTCTGTGCTATTACTCTGTTTTTTTTTCAGAATCTTTGTCTGTGTTATTACTCTGTTTTCTCAGGATCTCTGTTTTGTCCTTGCAGGGAGAAGGTGATCGTGCCGAGGACAAAACCATACATTTCGTTCATAGGTAATGAGAGTTATGCGGCAGAGACGGTAATTAGTTGGAGCGACAAAGCTTCAGACCGAGATAGCAAAGGCGGTGAACTCGGCACTTACAGATGCGCCTCTGTTACGATTGAGTCTGATTTCTTCTGTGCCACTGCCATCACTTTCGAGGTCCTTAAAAAAACCATCTCTCTAGACCTCTTCTTCTTATGCATGCATGGATTTTGAATGATTTTTGTTTCGGAATGAGTGCAGAACACGGTGACGGCAGAGCCAGGAGAGTTAGGGAAGCAAGCGGCGGCGTTGAGGATTACAGGGGACAAAGCAATGTTCTATAGAGTTAGGGTTTTGGGATCACAAGACACTCTCAATGATGCAACTGGTTCTCACTACTTTTACCAGTGTTATATCCAAGGAAACGTAGATTTCATCTTTGGCAACGCGAAATCACTTTACCAGGCAAACAACACACATTTCCACTTGTTCATTTGAATCTGAAATATGATTTTTTTTTTTTTATTGCTTAAAGCTGATGTGGGTTTCGTGTAAAACTTACAGGACTGTGATATTCGCTCAATCGCAAAGAGATATGGAGCGATCGCAGCTCACCATAGAAGCATAGAGAATGATGATACTGGTTTCTCGTTTGTGAACTGCGATATCAGCGGTTCCGGGAAGGTTTTCCTGGGAAGAGCTTGGGGAAACTTCTCGAGAACTGTTTATTCCAACTGTTTCATTGATGATATCATCATTCCTGTGGGCTGGAATGACTGGGGCGACCCTGACAGGCAAAGGTAGAGTCTTGAAACTGAAAAACTCTTTAGCTTCTGAAACTAAAGAGCTCTTCTGTCTGAAAAACACTTTTGACGGTTTTCTTTGCAGTAAGGTGCTGTTCGGGGAGTATAATTGCAAGGGAAGAGGAGCAGAGAGACGAGGTCGAGTACCGTGGTCGAAGAGTTTTACACAAGATGAAGTGAAGCCTTTTCTGGGGAGAGAGTTCATATATGGAGATCAATGGCTGAGACTCTAAACCCTTTGTTAAACTTAAGCTAAAGCTAACAGGAGATGATGATGACCTAATTATACATTTGTAATTACTTTACTAAAGCTGGGCAGAGAGAAATAGAACCTGCGTGTTTTAAACTGATATATAAAAGTTTTGGTTTTGGTTTTAAGATATAAATTTCATACATGCTGATACAAAGTCGTTTACAAGAAGTTTTGTGATAATAGGAAAAAGACAAATGGATTAATCTTTTGTTTTTTTCCTAACAACATTGCTTAAATCTAAAATAACCCTATTCTTAGATCGGTTAAAACAAATGCAACCACCAAAATCATGCCTCTTCAATTTTCTATACAACCATTACCTACTCCTCTCTCCTCAGCACCAACCAAGTCAAACCCAGAATCATTTTTTTTTCTTCTTCTGCAAAGTATGTCAATGTATATACATAAAGAAACATCAAAGTTTCCAGAGATGTGGCACCTACCAGAATTACCATCATTATATATGACCTCAAGGAAGCATCTTTACGTTGGCACCAGCGTGGTAGTAGTTTTTGATAGAGTGAAGACTGGTTCTGAATTGCGGGCCTTCTCATCATTAACGGTAACATCATCTTCTTCTTTGTGGTCCTGCACGGTATTTTCATGGTTGACATAGGTATTCGTTTGGTCACTTCCAACCTCTTTATCCTCTTCTTTCGAAATTCTGCTTCCATCATCCTCCTTAACAACCCCAGCATCTTTATGCTCTTTGTTCCTTTCTCCTAAAACGGAATCTTCAGGTATTGCCTCCTCAACAATATCTGGCATAGCAATGGGATTTGCCTTGGCATCTTTTGCAAGAGTGGGAGACATGGAAAGCTTGGCTTCCGGGCTAATATCAGGAGATACAAGAGAGAGTATATCGGGTTTAGGATCGATATCAACCCAGCTGTCTCCCACCCAGTCTCTGGAAATCCGAATATCCTTTCTGTGCACCGTTAAGCATAAGTTTTCCCCTAGCATCATGACAACAAAACACATGTCAGTAGTAAGAGAAAGATGGAGAAAGTGAAGGCAACTAGAGAGTGGAAGATGAAAATAGGAAAACACTAAATCATACCAGGAATATATATTTGCAAGTCCTCAGCATCCGGTTTGCCAGTGGCAATTACAACACCTTCCCACCAACCATCATTCCACCAGGCATCAACAGCTTCACCAACTGTAGGATCAAAATCTGGTGTTTTAGCATCAGGACGAGCAGGCCGGATTGTTGGGCGGTTGGACGACCTCATACCAAGCTTATCAGGCATTGCAGATTTCAAAGCCGGTACCCATTCCTACTCAAAACAATGAGAAAGAAAAACAAAATAATAAAACTATTAGGTGAGAAACATAAGATTGTAACAGAAACAATCCAGAAACAAAATTTAACTGTGGCAGCACAAATACCTCAAGGTTTCCATATCCATCCTCATCCTCTATATCATCATACTGGAGCTTTACTTGTTTCCTTGATACTTCCAGGACAGTGCATCTAAACCAGCAGCCTCTAATACCGCTATCTTGACACAGAAACTCTATTTTTGCATCAGCCGTAATCACTCCATTGTAACAAGGATGTTTGTGAACATCGGTTGGGGAAGAAAATCTTTTTCCCGAGGCATCAAGTTTGAGTCTCTTACATGAAGATTCATAAGTTGTTAACAGATGGTCAGACATCATTCTTGATTGTTTTTTCTTGCTCCTCTCAGCACCAACCATTACGTTCTGACCCTCACTACATTCTTCATCTTCCTCTTTATTCATCGCACAGTCTACAGAACCAGCCTCCACAGAGCTCAAGCAAGACATTATCGGTTGGTCCAAATAACCACGCAATTTACTCAAGTCAAAGGGTTTAACTTTGTTGTTCCTGAGTTGCCGATAGCACATGTGTACCTTTTCCAATAAAGAATTAGGAAAAGAAGCCACACACTCCTCGTAATGCTCACGGGTCAAGACAGTGGCAGGCGCATCAACACATTCTGCACTGATGACCTGTGAGTGAGGGGTGATGAAAACCTCTTTTGGGTGTGGGTTTTTAAGAGCAACCGCACCCTTCACTTCTTTTGTGTAGTGAAACCACCTCACTTTGACCTTTTTTAGGCCACGCTTGTCCTCATACATATCTTCCAGATATGCAACGTACCGGTCCTCCCCTTTGCTCATGACAAAGACAAAAGATTGAACCTGAAAATCCAAAATAAGAAATACACCTTCGAGTGAGTACAATGTCCCATCCATGATCAAGAGCTTAACAGATCCAAACCACGATGAAAAATGAACATATACTGAGCTATGCATGCATGAGAATCTCCATGTAATGGATATACTCAAAACTTCTATGATGCTAAGTTTTCAACTTACCCCTATTGTTGTCCCATTCCTACAAAATGATGGGTAATGTTTGAGCTGTTTACTGCACATCCAGGAAGTTCCTGACCACATAATCTCCCAATTGTGAACCCTCAAGTGTATGGGAGGCCGGACCTGTGAGAGGGATTTCCCATCAGTATTATAGGAGAGCAAGATGCAGTGACTATTGTATAAAGTAATAAGCAGCTAAACATCACCTCTTCAGTTGCTTGACCTCGCTGAGCAGCAAATCCATTGCTTGGAAATTCAGGAGATCCATTAGATTCCCCTGATTCACATTTTGGTGACTCTGTAATTGACAATAAATAAATTTGTTAGTCGGTTATAAAGTCCGGGGAGACTCCCTCATAGAGAAAGAATGTGTTCATTCCCCACTCAACAGAAATATAGTCACATAAGGCACAAGGTATAGATAAATGCATACTCGACCAGTTTCCTTGTGTATTTTGCTTAGACAGCATTGAAGTGAGCCAGTCCACAACCTCCCTTCTCGACCTCCACTTAAAACCAGCATGGATTGAACTCTCGGAACAATAAATACGCACGAAATCCTCAGAAACAACGTAGAACATGTGTCTGACACTTCTCTCAGTACCAACCACAGCTAGGATGGATTCACCCGCAGAATCCTTAAGGAAGTAATGAACAACCCGGTTCCCTCGCTCCTGTGAGACAAAATGCTCTTTCCACTCCACAAAATGATGATCATTCTCGCACATGTTTCAATACGAAAATGGTCCTCACAGCATCAATCGCTCTAAACCCTTCTTTACATCAGATAAAGAACTAACAACTGAAAGATAACAGGCGTCGATGCCAGTTCATAGTCAAGATAGTCTTTATCTCAAATCAAGTTCTAGAGCGACCCAGACTTTTCTGGAAAAAGCCAGTTTTTTTTTAAACAATCTATTTCTACCAATGACCGTAAAACCACCTAAAGACACCTATACCTAAAGAGTAAAGACCCAACAGTACCCCTAAATCTCCTGTGCCGTGGAAACCCTAAAGCAAACTCTTCAAACGATCTAATGCATAACTCTGATTAACATCCTTTCCTTAAGAAACAGCTGCCTATAAACAGCTAAATCGTCCAAGCTTCTGAAGATTTCCAGCTTGGGGAAATCAAATAATCCGGACGAAGAAGAAGTTAGGATTAGAGAAGGCGGAGAAGAACCCAGTGAGAGGAAAGTTTCGAAGTTCCGCCGAACGATCAGAGACGAAGCCGTGGAAACAGTGATCCAAGCTCGAGAGCGCCGCAAAACACCAAGAGACGACTTTGACTGCGGTAATCAGCTGAAGCATGACGAAGACGAAATGGGCATCTCAAATTTTCAGACAAGAAATAAAGATGATTTGTACCGATTCCAAAGGTTTTAGTCCGTCATGGAACAAATGATTCAGAAAAAAAAAAAAAGTGAATTAGGAAGCTCAGAATAGCTGCGAAAACCTAAAAACAACGATCGATTACGAAGATTTGAGGACGGAAAATCCGGAAAACGGAGATGAAGAGGTAGAAAATGAGTTCTGATTAAGGTAAAACTGAAGAAAATAGGGTATTTCCATGGATGATCTCTCTCTCTCTCTCTCAAAGTTTCAGGGCTTTGGCAAAGGCAGCTGCTTGAGGAAAGAGAAGGAAAATGTGTGTGCATTTACAATTATTGTACTACGAAATAACGAAAATATCAGGAAAATATTGGGCCAGTTTAGTTATAATCCTGTGGGCCTTTTATGGGCCAGACTGTAAATGAAACGAAAGAATGTCAAAGGGGAAAAGTCAACAGAATACTTTTTTTTTTGTGGTCTTCTCTCTCTCTTTGGCTACCGAGAAACCCAGAAGTTTATAAAACGTTCAGAATCATTACTTTTTTCCTCGAGAAAATTATTTTTTTAATGGAAGGAAACTAAATAAGAAAATCTACAACAAGTTGACACAAGCAAGCGAAGATTTACACTTTCTTATTCTTCTTCTTCCATTTTTCCAATTGAGAAGCATCGAGAGATTCGTTTATCCTTGTCGTAATGGCGGGAATAGCTATAGTTTTAGATCTATTGAAGAAATCTCAAACCAAACACAGTGTTCACTCACCGTCGCTGTCTTCCGCCTCCGCCGTCGCTTCTGCCGCCGCCGTATCTGCTGCCGCCACTGCTCCTTTTGCTTCTAGGTTTCTCTTCGGGTATGTGCTCGGATTGGATTTGTTTGACTTTCACAGTTTTTGACTGGATCGTGGTGAATAGGGTTATTGGATTTTGTTCGTGATTTAGGTTAGCCTAATTCATAATTGATAATACCTAGCTCCCTCGATTGTAGAAAGAAAGGCTGCAGATTTCTGGTTCTAATCGAGTCGAAATAGTACACTTATCCATATGTACATCAACTACTAGTGAAGAACATATTTTGCAATACAGTTTTGTAGAATAGGTTATTGTGAGTTAGATTATGCTATAAATGATAATCCCAGATATAGATTGTAATCAATATAGATCTCCTTTGATATATCTCATTCATGTGTCTTGTGAGTAGTCTTTTTTTCTTGCTTCCATCATCTGCATAATGAGTTGTGTAAGTTTTTGATCTTTTGCTACTGTTTTGTCTGGTCATTGCCCTGTTGCGACATTCATTGGAACCCACCAATGACTCAAATTGCTCGTGCTTACAGTTCTTTCGAGCCTCGAGTTGCTTACTGTGATGCCGCAGTTGGAATAGATGATGACTACCTTGCTACTATACGAAAAATGTCTGCGGATGTATTGCAGCGTCAACCGCTTACATACATTTCAAGTTCAAAGGAGTACAATATCCAGCCAAAACCACTATTCTCAGCCTTCGAGTACAGGGCACTTGCAATGACTACAGTGAGATCCCTCCTGATGTTCTATTTGCCTCTATTGGAGCCTAAAACGGCTTCAGAGGACGATGATGATTTCCTAAACGATGCTGCAGAGGAACGCCGCAAAGCCTCAGAGGGACGCCGCGCAGACTTGATTGTTCCTCTTAAAAAGTCAGCAAAGCAAATTGCCCGTGAGGTTCGTATTTCCAGACCTTTCTCTTGTTGTATCAAGCATTTGAACTCTTTGGCAAGCCAGGTTGAAATTGAACAATTACGCATCAAAGGTTGCTTCATGATGTCATGGGTCTAAACTGCTATTTTCGGGTTATATATGATCCAGACCACAGTTGTGACCACTCGGAGAGTCCTTGAAAGGCTGGCTGTTAGTTATGTCTCCCAGCGTATGGCATGGAAACTTCTAAAGGGTACCAACTTGCCATTATTATAATAATGTCTAACATAAAACTTACTAGACCAGAATTAGTTTAGTGAACTGATCGAGCGGTTAAATTATATATGTAAATGCAGATGTGCCTCAGTCGGCTTTACGCAAGGCTGAGAGAGGATGGCCAACACATTTATACATCTTTAAAGTCAGCCAGACAACTCTTAGAGGTATATGATTACAATGAAATGGTTTTACTACTCTCTGTGTCCCTCCCATCAAAAAAGAAAGCTCAGGTCAAGCATTATCTAGTTTTACCATAACTCTCCTGAAGCTTATGTAATATATATATTTTGTGCAGGACACTTCCTCGGGATTGCAGCGTCATGGACAGTTCAAGTAGGCATAGAAATCTATAGATGTGTGTTCCAGTATGTAAAACCCGAGGAAGAAGAAGAGGAACAAGTGGAGATAACAGAGCAAGTCAAGGATCTCGGAAACAAAGTTGTGGGTATCACAGTACGATGCGGGGCTTCTCTAGTGTTTGCTGCCATTGGAGCCGGTATCTGCTCTTGCCTTATCCGCCCCTCCACGGGCCAATGGATTGGTAAGCTCTCACTGGTTATTACAACTGCAGAGACATTCTCATAAAAATTTCATTTTTTTTGGCAACAATGATTGATGTGATGTTCTGTATGGTTTCCTTTCTTTGAATGCAGGCTGCGCGCTTGGGGACTTGGCTGGTCCGCTGGTTGTTTCGGTTTTCCTGCAGAAGACTCTTCAAGCTGATCGTTAACTCCTTTTGTGGAAATTGAATTCTTCTACTTTAAATTTACAATCACAGAGCTTTTTATTTTCTAAAATTTTCTTGTCGTTTTCATTGATACGTTTTAAACATTGATCAATACACCTTGAGTTATTCCCAAAATTTAACTACTTTTGGCAACCGCACAATAAGTCGGGGTTTTTTTATTTTCACTAGATTTAATCATCAACTTTTCGTACCTGAAGCTCTCTCACCAAAAGATGATAATAAAAAGATGGTTAGGTTTGGTTAGAAAAGGTGTTTTGCATGTTCATGTGGTTTGCATGTTCATGTGGCTTTGAGGTTTAGAATACATAAAAAGATGGAATGGAGAGGGCTTTTGCTGGGCGGCTCACTAAGATGGATGAGAGAGTGTCATGACTTTGGGCCCAACACAATATTTTTTGGTGTAGTCGGATTTATGTAATAATAAACAGTTTTCTTTTGTTGTATACCAAAAATACATTTGATAGCTAAACTATCGCTAAATTTAACTACAAAAAATGATTGATCGCTAACATATCACTCTAATTAGCGACCGACTGAATAATTTCGCCTCAAAATCATTCTGACCACAAATTTTCTTATGTAGTAAGTACCCTGCGGAATCAATTTACACCTAAAAACCTCTAAAACCCCATGAACATTGCTCAAATAAGAGATATTTTCAATTGTAATGTATAGAGACTGTAAAGACTAAAGAGAGACAGATCATCATCACCACCACACAAACACGAAACTCATATGAATGGCTCCAAATAATTCGATTGTCTTAGTTAACAAAGGGGCCTCCCTCTTTAACATAGATATTTAATACCTTCAACTACTTCTTCTTCCTCCGTGCACACCAAGCCACAATAAACTCCAACCGTTTTATTTTGGCCCCACATAGAAAAATCAGTGCATGAACCATCATTGGCTGTTGCTAGTGCAGCTAACTGTTTTCTCCCACATTTTGTGACGGATTTTTCAAGATTTGGTACATATGAATGACGTTCTCACGATAGGAGAAAGAAATGGTCGACTTTTGCTGCTAAATTGGCATAAAATAACACTACAAGAAAGATCGGCTTTTTTACGTCGGGCAGATATCGACGTAAAATCGACGTAAAAGAGCATTTACGTCAAATTAACGATGAATTAAAAATCGTCGTAAAACGATCGTCGTAAAACCGAAATCGTCGTAAAATCGTCGTAAAATTACCAACTCCGGAAAATCGTCGTAAAATCGTCGAGAACTATTCGTCGTAAATGCGTCGTAAAATTTCCAACGGATGTACAACGAAAGAACTCCATCATAAAAACGACATAAAATCGATGTAAAATTACATCGATTTAACAACGATTAGGAGACGAACAATTTCAATTAAGGGAAACTAAATTTTTAATTGTCGATGTTAAATCGTCGTAAAGTTTCGACGTAAAGCCGACGTAAACTTATCCGTCGTAAATTCGTCGTTAAATATTCGACGATTTACGTAAATTTGTCGTAAATTTACGTCGATTTATAAATTAATTATTTAATTCAATTTTAATTTAATTAATGAATTTTTAAAATAATCAAAAAATTAAAAATAGAAAAAATTTGAATTTAAATTGAACTTTAAATACAAAAATAATTTATAAATAAATAAAAAATTAATACAAATTGTTTTTTACTAAAAAACCTAATCTATACAATGATGTCGTAATCGTCGAGGTTGAGATCGACGTCACGAGGAGGCTCTCCGTCTTGGCCGCCCGTCGCTGCTAGGCCGACGTTTCCCGTCTGCACTACCGGAGCCGAAGTCTGACCGCCCGTCGCTGCAGAGACCGGAGCCGAAGACTGACCGCCCTGCGTCTGGTGGTCCGATGGTCCAGTACCGGAATTACCACCGGTCTCAAAAACCCTCCGTGTTCGCTGTTGCCTCGCTCGGATTGCGGTGGCCAACTGCGGAACCGCTTCCGCAATGATGTCGAAGAGATCATGTATCTCGGTGAGCTCCTGCTTTTGGGCCACTTGCTCATGCCTGAGACTGGTGATCTCAGCATTGGCCGTAGCAAGCTCCTGGCGAAGCTGCGGATCCTGCGTGCGGAATCCGGAAGCCGTGGCGGCAGGACAGTCTCTAATAGAGCCCATCCCTAAGGTTCGGCCCTTCTTCTTCGGAGCAACCTACAAATGGAAAATAAAAACGTTAATTATTTATTAAGTAATTATAAATATAATAAATTTTTAAAAAATTGAAATAGATATCATACCTCTTCGAAAATCTGGTCTTGCTCAGCGACGGTCAACGGTACTTGGATAATACCATCAGGTGTGGCCTGGGTCTCCCGCTCGGCGATCCGCTGCATAGCGGCATTGTAGATCTCCTCGGACCGAGCGTCCACAAAGCTCCCGTCCTTCTTCCGGTGAGTGGTCTCGAAGAGCTTCGTCATTGGAGGTAGTTCTCCTCCGTTCTCCTCGGCCTACCAATTAATAAACATTATTAGTCAAAAATATTTAATTAATTCTAGCAATAAATAAAATTAAAATAATAATGAAATAATTTATATTTAATTACTTACCATCATGAGACGTCTTCCCGCAAAAGATATTTGGCCAGAAGTGTGCGGGGTCACTAACTTCTCACCAGTCACCGGATCGACCCGGTTTCGGACGGCCGAACACTTAGCAGCGGTCGTTTGGGCATGCGGGTCCACCCAATACGCGTTCAACCCGTTCCAACACCAAGTGGACATGGAGCTCGGCTTTGCGTTGTCGCCGTCGGTCTCCCATTTCTGCTTCCAATCGGAAACGGTGTTGACTAGGCGTTTCTTCGCCTTTTCCTCGAAAGCTTCGCGGACCGTCTCGTTGATCCCGATGTCCCAGTTCCACCGTTGCTGAAAGAAAACAAAAAATTAGATAAACAATATAAAAGTAAGATTAATTAAATTTAAAACAATTTAAAATGATATAAATAAGATTTTAAAAATATTACCGCGAAGCACTTGTACCAGGTGTCGCACGTCTCTTGCGACACCTTGCTCCAGTTGACGTGCGGCTCCACGAAATGACTCTTAATTGTGTCGGAAACGCTCCGCCCGACACATTTATCCAAAGTAAACCTATGAAACCAAAAAAAAAATTATTACATTAATATTTAAGTAAATTAAAGCGTTAATTTAAAAACTATAAAAAACAAAAAAGTTTACTTACCAATAAGAGCCTGGTTCCGCTTTTCCGGGAACCAGACGTCGTAAAGCCTCCCGTCCCGGTAAGGCTAGTAAATCCTCAACCGTAAACTGGGCATACGGATGAGGAGGGGCGGGTACCGGTTCGGCAGCCGGGCGGGTACCGGTTCGACAGCCAGCGGTGGAGGTGGTGGTCGAGGCGGTGGTGGAGATTGCTCCGCGGTATTCGGAACCTGGGAGGCTCCGGAAGATGAAGGGACATCGGTCCCGGTGTTTCCCGAGGCAGACGCCCGGGAAGAATGTGCGTCCGCCATGAAATTGATGTAATGCGTCCTCCGTCGAGTCATCGTCTGCAAAACCGAAAAAAATTTATTTTTCAAATTAATTACAATTAATTTTTAATTACGATCCTAAATCTAACAAATTCCGAGCCTAAACTAATTCCCGACCTAAACCGTTTGAATTTCTAAACTATTTAAAATTATTATAATTTTAAGTAATTAAAAAAAATTATTTACCTTTTTTTTTTGCGTCAAAAGGAGGAGGTGGGAAGGAGGAAGCAGAGAGAGAGGAAGGAGAGATAAGCGACGAAATGAGGAAGGGATGAGGTCCTATATATAGAATTTATATTCGTCGTAAATTCGACGTAAACATTACGACGAATTTACGACGAATCCGTCGTAAATTCGTCGCAAAGGTCCCACCGTACAACAAAGCGAGTAAGACAAACAGACGTGGCTGTATCTGGGCTTTGCGACGAGTTTACGATGATCCGTGCTATTCGTCTAAACCAAAAAAATTAAGACGGCTGTGTATCCACTAACCGTCGTAAATTCGTCGTAACATTACGACGAATTTATGACGAATTATACCAAAACTGATGAAATTCAAAAACTGAAACATCCATAAGCATATACAAGCATGTCTATTCATGATAAATGTGGTCTGTATAACATTCTAGCATGTTTACATAACTTAATGAAGAATTTAGTAAGATGTAAGATAAATCCATACATCTTGTGTAAATGTATATAACACCTTAAGATTACTTGATAAACACATATATGTCAAATTTTGAATTTTTTTTTTTTTGTTTAGAAAGTTGTTTTACCTTATGAGATGGTAAGCCATTTCATTCTCCTCATCAAAATCCCCCCTGAACCCCATAAAAGATTGATTATAAGATTTAGGGGTTACATTTCGTCGTATTTTCGATGGTATATTACGACGAATTTACGACGATCACTCCCATTCGTCGTAAATTCGTCGTAATAAAAACCACATTTCTACAAGTTCCTGAACCTTATACTACATACTCTTATATAATACATCAGTTTACTTAGGAAAATGAACCCAAAAACCATTCTGTAAGTTGGGAAAGCTAAACCCTATAGGGTTTAGGGTTTGCATATTACGACGAATTTACGACGATTTCTAAATAATCGTCGTAAATTCGTCGTAATAGTCAACATATGTCCAAGTCAACACTTAAACAAATTTTCATCAACATTTAATTAGTCTTCATTAATTGGCTTTAATTTTTCAAAAATTTAAATTTGACCTAGGAGCAACTCATGAAACCATACTGCATATGTCATGTCATCATGCTCGACTTGACCTTTTAACCACAATGCATAATGTTGGTCTTTTCGCTTGTTAATTTCATTTTCTGAAACACCGTCAATGCATTCTCGGACTTGACTGACGAAAGTGCTGAAATTTTAAAACATTGTTAAGGACATTTCGTATGTTCAATCAAATTTTAATCATACATGGTTATAATTATGTACCTCTCGTAAGGTGCCAATTCCTCGCAATTCAGAAGTATATATGTATGTGCGCTGTGGTAGTCTTGTTCGTTTGACCAACAAGTTTCTTTTAGTTTCCCACTTAGACGTCCAATTGGTGAGAATATATCAGGCACACCTTCTACTGCGTAACTTTGTCCTACACCCCATCGTCGTAACGTCTTGGAGCCCGTTTGCGTGTACGAACATTTGGAGCAAAGTAATAAGACGTGAAATGAGAAGTCTCTTCTGTCAGACTTCCCGCCACGATAGACCCTTCAACTTTTGCTAAGTTTTTGGCCTTACCCTTCAAATGCTTCATAAATCGTTCAAACGGATACATCCACCTAAACTGAACAGGTCCTCCCAACTTTGCTTCATGAGGGAGGTGTATAGGTAAATGTTCCATAACATCGAAGAAAGCAGGTGGGAATATTTTTTCTAAATTGCACAACAATATTGGAATATTTGTAGACAGTTGTGCAACTACATCTTCTGATAATGTCCTTGTACTTAGATCACGGAAGAAAGCTCCAATGCCTCCTAGTGCCTCATGGACATGTCCCGGTAGGAGTTCAGCAAACGCAAAAGGAAGTAACCGTTGCATAAACACATGACAATCATGACTTTTCATCCCTGAAAACTTTTGTCCTTTATCCACAGATTTAGCCAGATTAGATACATATCCATCAGGAAATTTCATGGCTGATGATACCCAATTAAACAATGCTGTTTTTTGTTCAGCACCCAACCGAAATACAGGAACAAGTGCTTTCCCATTACTCACCATATGCAACTCAATTCTGTTACATATATCGGGTAAGTCCATCCGTGATTTAACGCTGTCTTTGGTTCTTCCTTGGACGTTCAAAACAGTATGCATGATGTTATCGAAAAAATTCTTCTCAATGTGCATAACATCAAGATTATGTCTACGCAAATGATCTTTCCAGTAAGGCAGATCCCAAAATATACTTTTCTTGTGCCAATTATGATGAACCCCATATCCGTCAGGCATATTCGCAGGAGTGTGCCAATTTCCTCCAAGGGGGACCGTTTCAAGTCCACCCCAATGATCTATTTGCGCTTCAAGCTCTACTCCAGTTAGGTACACTGGTGGAGGGAGACGAACCAATTTGTTCTTTATAAACAAACGCCTATTTCTTCTATATTGATGGTTTGGTGGTAAAAACCAACGGTGGCAATCAAACCAACAGGTTTTCCTACCATGTTTAAGCTGAAATGCATCAGTCCTATGAAGACAATAAGGACATGATAACCTCCCATGCGTTGTCCAACCTGATAGCATTCTGTATGCTGGGAAATCGTTTATTGTCCACATAAGCACCGCTCGCATCGTAAAATTTTTACCACTCGAACAGTCATATGTTCGTACTCCAACATGCCACAACTGGTTTAACTCATGTATGAGTGGTTGCAAAAAAACATCAAGGGCCCGCTTCGGGTGATTTGGACCAGGGACTAATATACTTAGAAACAAAAACTCTCTTTCCATGCACATATCTGGAGGAAGGTTATATGGCGTAAGAATCACAGGTCATAATGAATATTGCCTACCAGACATACCAAATGGACTAAACCCGTCAGTGCAAAGACCAAGATAAACATTTCGCTTAGACCTAGCAAAGTCTGGATGTACGGTGTTAAAATGTTTCCAAGATTTCCCGTCAGACGGGTGAGTCATTTTGCCATCTGTTTGTGAATGTTCCGCATGCCATCTCATCGACGCAGCTGTCCGTTCGGATTGATATAGTCTTTTTAACCTATCAGTGATAGGAAGATACCACATTCGTTGGTAAGGAATCTTCTTACGCCCAGCAATTTGCGGTCTATATCTTGGCTTTTGGCAGAAACGACATTCTTCAAGCTTCTCATCATCTCTCCAAAAAAGCATACAATTATCAACACAAACATCAATCATCTCAGAAGGCAATCCAAGACTAAAAACCAGCTTCTGAATTTCATAATACGTTTCAGCAGCCAAATTATCATCTGGCAAATACTCTTTAATAAGATCTGCCCAATCGTTCATGCAAACTTCAGATAGATTGTGATCTGTTTTTATTGTCATCATCCGAGCTGCCAATGATAATTTTGATAAACCTTCCCTACATCCCTCGTACAGAGGCTGTTTTGCTGCGTTTAACATATCATAAAAGCGTTTCGCATCTGCATTGGGCTCCTCAACAGTATCAGCATGTGTTTCATGAAATACATCAGTAATCATTTCATGCATCCTATCATGATCTTCACCCTGAACTTGACTACTTTGATAATCATTGGACGCTTCAAAATCCACATGTTCTTGATGATTACTACTACTCCGTGCAGCCATCTGACCACTACTTTGACCATATCCCTCTCCATGCTGATACCAAATAAAGTATTGGGGCATGAACCCTCTATTCAATAAATGCTGCCAGACAGTGTCAATAAGAATATGTTTCCTATTTTTGCATTTCACACAAGGACAATACATTTTGCCGCTTTCAATTACAGTTTCCAGAAGGCCGGCTTGGTACATGAATATTTCCAATCCGTTTTTGAAGTCTTCAGTCAACGACCCATTACCATTTTTGGGCGTATACATCCACTTTCGTAGATCGTATATAGACATTTCAAAAACAAATATTTGACTTTTTGTTTCTGAAATTTGATAGAAATTTCAACTACTAAAAATTTTACTTAAACATTCAAAGACTCAAAAAATTTGTGTCTTCATATGTTTTTTTGGGATGATGGAATAATGAGAGAAGAAAGGGTATATATAGAATTTTTTGTTTGGTTACCAACATATTACCATTGCATATTTACATCAAATTTACGTCGAAATAAAATTTACATCACATTTACATCGATTTTACGTCAATTACAAGATAGAGGACAATTCGTCGTATTATCGATGTAAATATTACGACAAAATTACGATGAAATAAAATTCATTCTTTATTCGTCGTAAAATCGTCGTAACATTACGACGATTTTACGAGGGTTATTTTTTACGTCGAATTTACGATGAAATTTTTGATCGTCGTAAATACGACGTAATGTCGTCGTAAATTTACGACGACTACAAATTGTCGTAAATAATTCGACGGAAAAGCCCCTCTTTCTTGTAGTGTAAGTCGATGAATCATTATTTTATGTATAGTTTGTTTTGGTTCATGAGTTACTTGTGTTACATATTAGTTAGCTGCTATTACATTACTTTACTAACAAAAGCAATCGTTATACATAATCACAGCATTTGAGAAAATTACGCATTACTTTTGATGATAAAAAGAAAAAAAATGGTAATCGTGATTATTCAATATAAAAAAACAACAAGTATTTAAATTTACCTTCTGAAAAATAAATATATTTGTCTACCTGCTTCACTCTATATAAATACAAGTCTTTGGCCGCCTTATAAGTTATAACCAGACTCTAAGCTTGCCTTTGAGTTTGAGCTTGTCTTAAGCTTTCTTTCTTTCTTTTTTTGGTTTTTGTCTGAAGCTTGATCTTTCTTCTTCTTCTTCTTCTCCTCTATTCTTTTTTTTTTGTAAGCTCTTGAAATCAACCAGAGACAATGGAAACGAAATGGCTATTTACCTCGGCTTTCTCTCAAATGTTCGGCTACTCAAACCGTATGGATCAAACCAGCAACTGCCAAAACACCCGCAACAAAATAATGATGATGAAGAAAGAAGAATTCCCAAGTGGATTCCAAGTTCCTCTTCACTACCCTAAATACTCCAAGTCTGATTATGAGGCCATGGATGATCTCAGCCTTGACTTGCTCCTCAAACAGTATGGATTGTCCTTCGAAGGATCTCTTGATGACAAGCGGGTCTTTGCAATTGAATCATTTCTCTGGCCCGATCAGCTTTAGGGTTTATGTTGGCATCTGAATTCTCTCATTATCTCTCTTAACCAATAGATTCAGTGACCCTAAGATAACGAGATGTTTTGTGTCAAATCACCATATGTATCAAACACTTAATTAGTTATCAGGTTTGTGTGTTATGTGTTCTTTCAAAACAAAACAAAAGTTTGTGTCTTATGTCATATGTGTGTGCGTATCGAGAAGTTCTGAAGCATGCAATTTACTCAGATCATATGAATCACCATGAATGCATTAATAATAACATCTTTGATTATATTTGTATATCCTAAACATTGATCTATCGACTTATAATCTCGGATTAATTTCATGAACTACAACTACCACATGAATACTGCGCGCAATCGACAAATGTGAATGTAACAAAATCCGATATTTCTGTTAGAGCATGGTCATCATTATAGACGTGCTTTTCTTTTCAACGCAAGATTGAAGTTTTTTTTGGGGGTCAAACGACTCAAACTTCATTTTATAAATAGATAGATTACTCTAAAAAAAAAACTTTCTTTAAAGAGTTTGCATATTTGACAGCTTGGTTTGAAGGGAGGAGACTCAGTCTAGAGTCTAGACTGATTTTAGACATGGAACCTATCAAAATGGGTAGTTATATTATTGATTATGCTGTAGTTGCAAGTGTACAACTAGAAAGTAAGAAGACAATTTTTGTTTGGCTAAAAAGAAGAAAAAAAAAATATGTGAAAAAAGGTTGTTGCAAATGTAATCTTTTCCTGCAAGCTTTTTACTATTTATAGTTAGTTATAAGTTTATAACAATGAATACAAAAGACATGAAGAGTTTTATAGTTACGAGATTGCGTTTGAACAAGAAAAGGTAACAATATGTGGATTTTTTAAATTGACGAGGGAAAAAAAAAACAGAAAAAAATGAATAAATAAACAGAACAAAAAAAAAGAAACTTGGAGTAAGCACCGAAGAGAATTGGCCAACTGTGAGCGATCATCAATGAAGAATAATTGCGAGATCCGAGCAAACCGCTCTTTGCGATTTTGGTTTTTCAATCGATCTTAATTCTGGGTAACTCTCAAATTCTTCATCTTCCCCGAGTTTCAAATTCTGGGTCCGATTATTTTAGTCGAATCTTCTATTTACTGTCTTCTCCCTTCCCAGCCAAACAACTAATCTCTTCATTGTCGACCGATCTTAAATCTGTAGCTGTAACTCATAATCTTGAGAAGATTCTGTTCCAAATTCTCAACTTTTTGTCTTATTTTGAACTCTGTATGTCTGATTTCTCAGAACAGGATTTTAGAACAAACGATGTCGATTTTGGCGTTAGTTTTGCATCCACTTGAGAAATTGAGATGTTTAGATTGGTTTTTTCTTCTTTTTATCCATTCCCTTTTAAGATTGCGTACTGACTAGGTCATGGTTGCTTACATTTTCAATTTTCGATTTGTGTTCGTAGCTCCCACATTTTCTATTTATGTGAAATGATTCTGATGTCTGCAATTTTTAAAGGTTTAAAATGGAGAACTGACCATACTTTGATTGATCTGCAGGTATCAGAAACTAACACAAATCTCCTAGTTTGATTATAGAATGTCGAACGATTCAGCTCATGACCCATTGTTAGCTAAGGAGCAGTTAGATCCCCTGGCTCAAGACTTCAACCAAAAGTCAAGAACTTCTTCAAGAAAAAGAAGATTGCGTCGCTCTAGAAGCGCACCTCGTGGTGATTTTGTGTACAATAACGATGATAATGATGTCAAAATCGACGAGCCACCTCCTCATCCAAGTACAATCCCAATGTTCAGAGATCTAAACCCGCGTCTCAGACAAGTGATCATTCTCTTGGTTTTATATCTAAGCATCGGTACTCTCTGTTTCTACCTCGTGAGAAACCACATATCAGGAACCAAGACCAATGGTGTGTTGGATGCTGTCTATTTCTGTGTAGTAACGATGACAACCGTTGGATACGGTGACCTTGTCCCTAGTAACTCTGCCTCAAGGCTACTAGCTTGTGCATTTGTCTTCTCGGGAATGGTCCTTGTGGGTCACCTTCTAAGTCGAGCAGCGGATTATCTAGTGGAGAAGCAAGAGGCTTTGCTTGTTAGGGCTTTCCATTTGCGTAAAACCTTTGGTCCAACAGACACTCTCAAGGAGTTGCATACTAACAAGTTGAGATACAAATGCTATGTGACATTCCTTGTCCTTGTAGTTCTCTTCCTTGCCGGTACGATTTTCCTTGTAAATTATGAGAATATGCCGGTTATCGAAGCTTTCTACTGCGTTTGTTCCACGGTTACAACGTTGGGTTATGGCGATAAGAGCTTTAACTCGGAAACTGGGCGCCTCTTTGCTGTGTTTTGGATCTTGACAAGCACTGTGTGTTTGGCTCAGTTTTTCCTCTATGTAGCTGAGCTAAATGCAGAAACCAAACAGAGGGAGTTGGTGAAATGGGTTTTAACACGGAGAATCACAAACAATGATCTCGAAGCAGCTGATCTCGATGACGATAGAGTCGTCGGGTGAGACATGAGACAATTTCTCTCTTCTGTTTTCTGTTTCTTCTTCTTCTTCTTCTTATCTTTGTCTTTTATGTGTTGCAGAGCTGCAGAGTTTATATTATATAAACTGAAAGAAATGGGGAAGATTGATGAGAACGATGTTGCTGGGATAATGGAAGAATTTGAGCAGCTCGACTACGATGAATCGGGAACTCTTACGACTTCTGACATCATTCTAGCTCAGACGTCTCAGATCCAAAGGTAAGAATCATGGTCATCATCATCTTTCGAAGACGAACCACAGAATCTTTCTTTGAGTCATACCTGCCACGACCAGAAAAGCAAGGAAAGTGAACAGTTTTGGAATTTTTTTGTTTGTTTCTGTCTGTGTTTTGTGAAATGTAATGCTACATTCCCACTCTTTGATTTGTCTCTTGATGCCTGAGTGTAATAACTTACATACGGATTTACACGAATACTTTATCTTAGCAAGCTGAATCTTGCTATTGATCTGATATGAATCTATGGTTTTAACAGTAATGGTGTCATCCAATATGCTCCACAGACCAAACCCCAAAACCAGAGTCCTATAGTTTCACTTGAATTCAATATGGATTCTCTCAAAGAACAGGTGATGATGACTGTTTTATTGCTTTGAAATTTCTGGTATTTTGGTTGATACAACGTTTTCAAAGGGAGCGGTTTCTTTTTCCCTGAGGAGCCAAAAAAAAAAAAAAAACAAAGGGCCTTAGAGATGATGCCGTTTCTCGAACTGAGATTCATGGCAATGAGGGTCAAGCCAGTCTCTTGAAACACCTTTTGCCATGTTACCTCCTTTCTCTACGCCGCCTACAAGCTCTCTCAAGTTGGCCACTTTGTTTTCTCGACCAGACACGTTCATTTTCTGGTCTGCTTCCTTAAGCTTCTGCTTAAACCGCTGCTTGCGGCTTGTTGTGTTACCATCTTGTAGCTGCGAGGGAGGAGCTCCATGTGGTCCTAGGTAGATCTTTTCTTCTGCTTTGATCTATAAATATCGAATGAGAGGTAAAAGTTAACAAAATCTGAAGCTCCTCTACTGAATGTTTTATATACAGAAGAAATCAATCGCCACCTTGGGAGAAGAAGGTTTTGGTGTTTGAGTTTCTGAATCATTAACCTTGTCTTCTTCAATCTCCAAGCTTGGAATCACAAACCCATCAGTATCTGGGCAATAGAAAGAGCAATTAAATGATCTGATCAACAAGATTTGCAATCAAATAAGAAGATACACAGAAATTGGAACAATGCTTTGATTTCTTTTAAGTTGAATCACAGGGAAGCTTCAGAATTTCAGAGTAGAGCGAATTCTCAAGATCGAGAACAATCTAATCATGAAATTTAGGGTTTAATTTCTTGAAGATTGAAAATTTTAATACTTACCCCACTCATCGTCTTCTTCCGAAGGAAGAGGAGTCGTCTGCATTGCAGAAGTATCCATTGAACTTCGGAAGTTCAATGGTTCAATGGATTCTCCGAACAACGAGCTATAATTGATTTCGCAGCTCTTGGCCTTTCGAGAATGTGAATTTAAATATTATATCAATAATTCGATTACTTCACCACTGATTGAATTTTGAGAAACCCTAAATGCAATGCAAGAGCTTGGAAAGGGGGAAACAAAAATGATGGATTTACTGTTGAATGTTGATGGTGTTGAGGAGGTGTGGATCGGATCGGATCCGGATTCGGATTCGACTATTGCAATTTACACAGCGGTTTTGATTTTTTTCTCAATCTACATCGATGGATGATATTTGGGCACGTGTCTTTAGCCATGAATATGGTGGAAATTTTTGTAGGCATCATTACAAAAAGATGGTTGTTTTGTTTTTTCTTTTACCTTTTTTTAACTTTAAAATATATGCAATCAAATCATTTCTTTCCACATCAATGATTTCAGGGAAGCACAAGAATAATACTCTTTCCGTTTTTTTTTTTATTACTAGTTGTTTTGGTCCTTTTGAATGGTTTTTATTTGTTTCAAAAGTTGTTTTTATTTTTTTATGCAACTTTTATTTTTATTGAATACTGTGTAATTAATAATAATTTATAATATTTTTTATGATTGGTTGAAATATGTTTACTTTATATATAAAATATTACTTTTTGAAGAATTTTTTTTTTAATCTTTGTGTTTTTAGCTAAAATAACTAATAAAAAAATGGTATAAATCTCTTAGCATTTTAGACCCAAAAATGGTATAATTCTGATCCTCGCTGTCAATAACACTCGTATTGATTTTTTTTTTTGGGATACACCATAACAGCATACGATGATTTGCGAAAATTCTAAAGCATAAATGTATAATAGATCTTTGAGGAAGCGGAAGGACGAAGGAGTAATCATCTCATGATTACCATTGAAAACAACCGCAATAATGTTGATGGGGTCTTTGTATGAAACAATAAAAGTAAGTTCGGAAAAGATAAAAGTGACAACTCCTTAATTTCTTAAAGTTACTTAGTAATCATTTCATGTGGTGAATATTATTTAGCTGAATCAAATCGACATTCCTAGTTGACACAACCATCGACAAACTCATGAAGAGGTAACTTCTGGAGAAAGATTAAATAATTTTAATCAATATTTCAATCAATACTTGGTTTCGTATTCTCTCCTCTACATAGACTAGATATCTCACATCTGGTAATTTACAACAATAAAAACGCGTCAGTTTATTTACTGGCAACTGATTTTAAAATGAAAAAATTGTTAAAAACAAAAATTACTCGTTATCAAAATCAAATAAACCCGAACAACCAAACCAACACACAAATTCTCACATACTGCATAAATTGGGTTTAACCACGTATTGTTGGTATGCTGTTGGATTTGATTTTTCCCTTTGTATTTTTGATAGGTTAAGAAATCTTCTTATACAATAAGATTTTAAATTTTAGCTGAATCGGCTCAGCACTATTCGACTCAGAGGAAAGGAATATGAGAATGGTCTATTTTTTGGTTTGGAACTAGGAATTAGTGAATGATTTCTTTTTAATTTCAAAAACATGAAGCATAAAGCTGATTTGACTGAATAAATTTTACACTTCATTCAAATAAAAAAAAAGATTTTAAATTTTACTCCTATATAATAACTTTTCTTTTTTTTTATATATACTAAACCATCCTTAATTTTAATGGACTTCACATGGATTTACCATTCCAACGCTTTTTATAGATTTTCCAAGAAAAACACAATTCAAATACATGCAAAAACCAATGCTCTTCATTTTCTCGAGAAAATTAGTTGCAGGTGTAATTATAAAGAGTGAGAAAAAAAAACCAGAGCCTTCTTGTTTGGTTCCTCTGACTTTCTCAGATATTTCTGTCTCTCTCTTCTGAGACTTTTTCTCAAATTTTTCAATAACTCAGATTCGTCTTATTTTAAAAATAACTATCTTCGTTAATCTAGATCCAAACAGAGCGAAACTCAGCTTAAAGATTTATATCAGATATAACTCAAAAGTCCATTAACATCAATAATGGATAACGAGACATTCTCAACTTCTCTTTAGCTCTGTTTTGTTTAGTTTATCTGAAATCAAGTTTCCGTGGAGTGATGAAACTGGTGGAAAAATCTGATAAAGAAAAGCATTTTTCTTGGTGCTCTTTTCATTTATATCCGCCATTGATGTTTTTCCTTGTAACTCTAGTTCTATCTGTAGCTTTCCTCTGTTTCCTAAGCTCTTATGGTTTCTCTTCTCTCCTAGCAACCATCGCAATCTTGTCCATCTCCACTTTTGTTTTCTTTACAAGATTTTTCAAGAAAAAGACAAGACTCTATTTGGCTGAAAGATCCCATGAAGGAGGCTATAATGTTGATGTTGATGATGATGAGGACGAGGATGGTCTCATTGAGATTACTCTTGTGAGTGAAGAAGCAGAGACTATGGAGGCAATGAGAAACATTAATCGAAGTCGACAGAGAAATAGGATTGATGAAGATGAAGAATTGATAGATGACGTGAACATGGAAGATGATAATCTTATTGAGATTGATATTTCCATTGGATCTATTAAAAGACGAAATGAATGAAAATCAAGTTTTTTTTTATGTATTTTTTCATTTCAAATGTACAAAAGGTCCAACATTTCAATATATGGAAATTTTTTGATAATTGGTGATTAGGGTCTACAAGACTTGCAGTTAGACTGCATCTTCTATCCAAAGAGTGTCTTGGTCTTGCCTTGGTTATTCACTAGCTGCAGTTTTGATGCAATTATATGGTTATATATTATGTTATAATTAGGATGAACTAACATAAAGTCTCGGTTTATTTTTTGGTCAGGCATAAAGTCTCGTTATATCAATTGATTAAGATTCTAATATTAGAATCAAACAACCCAAATCAACAACAAAAAAAACCAACCGCATTTACAATACCATCATTTGTGTTTTCGCTCGAGCTAGGCAGATTCCTCTAAATACAGTGACCAAATTTTTTCAACAATGTGGTAGTTTTTTTTTATTTTTTATAAATTTTATTGGCTGATCAGTCAATCCCGGTAAAAACACACTAAAGTGCTACAAAATAGATTGATTACCTAAGTTCAACGGTTTAATGAACAATATGAACTTCAAGCGCATTCGGGTTAACGAGATATGAAATCCATGAGATCTAACGGTTTATCACACTGCCTATTCCGAATTTGAAATACTTCCCGACTAATGTTAGAGATAACCAAATATCTTTTACTGACTATCATGTAAACTGCATATGCCAAACCTAAACTTTCTACATAAATATGTTTTTGTTTTTATGATGGATCGAACTCGGGTGAAATAATGTAATTAATGAAAAATATATGAGTGGAATATAATTGAGTGTAATGAAGAAATTTTATTTCTTGAATTCATTCCATCAATTCTCTTGCAAAATAATAGAGAAATGTTTTCCTCTCAGATTTATTCATTCTTTCATATTTTTAGTGGAATTAGTTGAATTATTTTTTCCCCAATTTTCAACTTTAATGGTTGAACTTTAGAGGAATGCTTAAATTCATCAACTTTTATTAATTTAAATGGTAAAATATTAGAAGAATGCTATAACTCCATCAATTCTTTTTGTTCCTCTAAGACTAATTGTATATAACCATTTCCATTTGCACATAAATCAATTTTTATGTAAAATATAAGTCTTATCACGTTCTTTTTGCTTTGTTTACCATCTACTTCATTCATTTAGTTAAAAAAAAACTAGTTAGTGTATCAAAAGATAATATAGATTTTTTTTTCCTTTTCAAAGATTTCTAATACTACCATTTGTAAAGAATCTTACCTTTTGGCTTTTACAAAAATAGTAAAAGACCAAATTAATTTCATCATCAAAAGTACGTGGTAAAAAATGTCAAAGACGGTGCTTGAAACTTTGGGGAGGAGAAGACGCAACATCTAAGTGGGGAGGAGAAGACGGTGCTTGAAACTTTGGATCTCGGTGGTTCGGAGAAACAGATGGAAATTGGCGATGATTGCAGAAAAGGTGAGAAGGGATCTGAAGCGGAAAAGAAATCCTCTGAAGTGAAAGAGGTGGGGAAATCATGGGCAACTGTGGTGTCTTCGAGGAAAGCGTTACAAAAATATGATATTGAGGTGGAAGAAATCGATGGGATTGAAACTATCTGTGTTCCCGATAGTGTGTTGGAAAATGCACCTCCCTTATGGGAAGACTGCATTGTGGGGAAGTTTGTTAATGCAAAAGCTCCTCATGTGGGCTATATTCACATGACGGTGAATCGTATATGGAACCTTGGTGCAAAAAGCATAAAGATTGAAGTATACGTGGTGGATGAATCAACTGTAAAATTCAAGATTCCTGACGCAGGAGTAAGGAAAAGAGTTTTACAACGAGGCATGTGGAGTATCAAGAATACTCCGATGATAGTTTCTAAATGGAGCCCGGTGGTGGAGGAGGCACAACCTGATGTGTCTATAATACCAATGTGGGTCGTCGTGCGCAACGTTCCAAGAACGATGTTTACCTGGAAAGGACTTAGTTTTCTCACGAGTCCATTGGGGGAGCCTAAAAAACTTCACACAGATACCATATGGACAAATGATTTTGAAGAAGCAAAAGTTTTTGTGGAAGTGAACATGAAAAAGAAACTACCAGAGAGTTTCAATTTCAAGATGTCGACGGGTGTTGAAAAGGTGGTTCATTACGAATTTCCTTGGCTTCCACCAAGATGTATGTCGTGTGCCAAATGGGGACATATAACAAAAGATTGCAGAGTTCAGCCAGGTGATAAGATCATTCTGCAAAAGGAGACAAAGAAGCAGAGCACATCAGAACACTCTACTTCGATTAAAAATAAGGGACAATCGAACGAAGTCGTGAATAAAGTCTCACAAAATCTACCTACTGAATCATCAAACCAAAACGTGATTCTACAAACGTCTGCAGAGGAAGGTACAAAAGTAGTGGTTGAGGAGAACAGAGTCATGGAGGAAACGAGAAGTTCAAAAAATAAGGGGAATGAGAAGGGTGAGAACTCTGACTGGGAAGATGCAAGATCACCTGTTAGAGCTTTGTCTCTAAAGACTAACGTCGTGAAGGACAACATATGCGTCTCTAAATCCAGATTTGACTTGATCGCATTGGGGGAAGAGGAAGTTCTTCTAGAGCAGCAAGACTCTGTCTAGGAAGTAGATATCGCAGGTGCAGAGGATGTGGACAAAGATTCGGGATCGGTCTCAAAACCATCTCGAGAGGAGGGCGAGGGTACACGATTACAGAAAGAAGGAGGAGGAAGAATTCCACTCCCTCGACAATCTAAATCGCAACACAAATATCTACAAGAAGCAGTGATACCCAGTCCGTCTCAATCTCAGAGAAGCTCGGGGAAGAAAAAGAGAAATAAGGGGAGGAGGTCCAATAAAAACCAACATTAAATGTCAGGTTTTTTCTGGAATATAAGGGGATTTAACAAACCGAAAAAGCATGAGATTGTGGGGAACTGGTGTAAAAAAAAGGAGTTTTTATTTGGGGCGATTTTAGAAACTCGAGTACGGGAATGCAAGGCAGAAAGTATCGTGGCAAAGGTGTTTCCGGGTTGGTCTTTTTTGAATAACTACGAGCACCATGAGCTTGGTCGTATCTGGTTTGTATGGAAGGATACAGTTAGGATTACTCCGGTCTATAAGAGTAGTCAAATGATAACGGTTTCAGTGAAGTTACAGGAAATGGAGGATGAGTTTCTCTGTTCTGCTGTATATGGTTCAAATCAGATGGAGGAGAGAAGACTGCTTTGGGAAGATCTGCGCAGTGTGTTCTCTTCACAGATTTTTGGTAGGATGAATTGGATAGTCATGGGAGATTTCAATGAGATTGTGGACATTGATGACCACTCTTCTCATATCCCAAATCTCCAGGCGTTGCAGGGTATGAGAGATTTCCAATCAGTGATTCGGGATGGTGAACTAAGTGATATGCGGCTCCATGGTCCACACTTTTCTTGGTGCAATAAAAGAACAGAAGGATTGGTTTGTAAAAAATTGGATCGCTTGTTAGTGAATGAAAATTGGACGAATAGATTTCAAAACTCATACGGTGTGTTTGAAGCAGGAGGTTGCTCTGATCATGTAAGGTGTCGGTTTTATTTTGAATCGGAGATTCAAAGGAGAAAAAGGCCTTTCAAGTTTACCAATGTAATAGCTACTCTTCCACAGTTTCAGTCTTCTCTGGCGAACTTCTGGAATGAGACAGAGCCTTTGTTTCACTCAACCTCTGCCTTATTCCGGTTCTCAAAGAAACTGAAACAGCTCAAACCAACCATGCGAGATCTGTCTAGATCCACACTCAACAATATATCCACAAGGGTTAAAGAGGAGTTTGAAAACTTGTGCAGTAAACAAGAGCAGAACCTAAATTTTCCTAGCGAAGCTACACAGCAGGAGGAAAAGGCTATATATGAGCGATGGGAACACTTGGTTCATTTGGAAGAAGCATACCTTTGTCAGAAGTCTAAGCTTTCGTGGATGTTAGTTGGGGATCAAAACTCAAAAGTCTTTCATAGAGCAGTCAAAGCTAGAGCGATTCAAAATGGGATTAGTGAACTAGAAAGCAGTGATGGTATGGTTATTAGTGGGCAAGAGAACATCAAGGAGGAAGCGGTGCATCATTTCAAAGGTTTTTTAAATCATGTGCCAGATGATTTACAACACACGGCAATAAGTGACTTAAAGGAGCTGCTTGGGTTTGAATGTGGGGAAGAGGACAGGAAGCTTTTGATGAGGGAAGTTTCAGAGAAGGAGATTAAGGATGTGCTGTTTTCCATGGCTGGTAATAAATCTCCGGGACCAGACGGTTACACGGTGGAGTTTTATAAGGCAGCATGGCCGGTCATTGGAAAGGATTTAGTCACCAGTATTCAATCCTTTTTTATTAAGGGTTTTCTTCCCAAGGGTGTGAACTCCACTATTCTTGCTCTGATACCAAAAAAAGAGGGGGTGAAACAGATGAAGGACTATCGCCCCATATCCTGTTGCAATGTTATATACAAGATCATATCAAAGCTTCTAGCTAATAGATTGAAACAAATTCTGCCTAGCTTCATTGCGATGAACCAGTCAGCATTTGTTCAAGATAGACTACTGATCGAAAATCTTCTTCTTGCTACTGAGCTAGTTTCTGGCTATCACAAAGAACAAATCTCTCCGAGATGTGCACTTAAGATAGACATATCCAAGGCTTTTGATTCAGTCCAATGGAGCTTTTTGTTGAATGTGTTGGAGGCACTGCATTTACCTGAGAAATTCATTCACTGGGTTAAGTTATGTATCACCACAGCTTCTTTCTCTGTCCAGGTGAATGGAGAGTTAGCTGGATATTTTGGAAGCTCTAGAGGACTTCGCCAAGGCTGTTCCCTCTCTCCATATCTGTTTGTAGTGTGTATGAATGTCCTGTCAAAGATGCTTGATAGAGCTGCAAATCAGAGAAGATTTGGTTTTCATCCCAAGTGTTCTCAAATATCTTTAACACATCTTTGCTTCGCTGATGATTTGATGGTGTTTTCTGATGGAACTCTGCGATCTTTGGAAGGGATTATAAGTGTTTTTGACGAGTTCTCAATGATGTCGGGCCTAAAGATAAGCTTAGAGAAATCTACAGCATATTTAGCAGGTGTCTCGGGTGCAACAAGGGTTCAAATATCTCAGAGATTTCCTTTTGAGATTGGGACTTTACCAGTGAGGTATTTAGGCTTGCCGCTTCTCACTAAAAAAATGACATCTCTGGATTACTCCACTCTTATAGAGCAGATAAAGAAGCGAATTGGCACATGGACTGCAAGGTTTTTGTCATTCGCAGGTCGGTTGCAGTTGCTCACATCGGTAATATCTAGTCTCATAAACTTTTGGATGGCGGCGTTCAGACTCCCAAATAAGTGTATTGATGAAATAGAAAGCATATGTTCAGCTTTCTTATGGTCAGGACCTACTCTGAATACTCATAAGGCCAAAGTTGCGTGGAGAGATATATGCAAACCGAAAACAGAAGGGGGTCTGGGTCTAAAGAACTTCCGTGAGGTTAACGATGTCTGTGGTTTAAAACTCATATGGCGCCTGGTTACTACGCAGTCGTCTCTTTGGGTAAGGTGGTCAAAGATAAATCATCTGCGTGGGGGTTCTATTTGGTCAATATCGGATAACACTGCAACTTGGAAAGGCTCGTGGACTTGGAAACAAATTCTGAAAGCACGTAACAGAGCAGCAGAGCTTTTAAAAGTAGAGGTGGGAAATGGTCGGTTGGTTTCTTTTTGGCATGAAGTTTGGTCTCCTCTCGGTAGACTGCTTAGTGCTGTGGGATCACGGGGCTTCATCGATATGGGAATTGGAGAATACGGAACAGTGGAAGATGCCATATTAAACCATAGAAGAAGGCGCCATCGATTAGCTTTTTACAATCAAGTTGAAGATGAGTTGGATAAGGTTAAGAGCAGATATAGAGAGGATAACGAAGACTACTATCTATGGAAAACCAAAGGAGGAAATTATAGAGGGAAGTTCAGCTCCAAGGATACTAGAGAACTGATCAGAATCCACATTCCACAGGTCCAATGGGCACGTGGTGTTTGGTTTAAATATCATACCCCAAAGTTTGCTTTCATAACATGGTTGGCAATCCTCGATAGACTCAACATAGGAGACCGTATGTCTTTATGGAATGTGCATGTGGATACAACCTGTATTTTCTGTAGCGGTCATCTAGAAAACAGAGCACATCTGTTTTTTGGATGTCACTATACAGAGAATATCTGGTCCAAGGTTGCAAAGGGCATCATGATACAAGACTACACTTCACAGTGGGAGGAATTGGTGGTGAAAATCTCGGTAAACAAAAAAAGATGTCTAAGCACTTTCATTCTTAGATACATTCTTCAGCTAACCATCTATGTCATTTGGAGAGAGCGAAATAGCAGGAGGCATGGGGATGCTCCAAGAACAGTTGAGCAGATTGCCAAGCATATTGACAAAATGATGAGAAATCGATTCAGTTCCATCCGTATATTGGGGGATGGTTTATGAAGAATGGTTTATGAAGAAGGGATGCAGAAGTGGCTTGCTGCGCAAGCAACGTCATGACCCGAAGCATATGCTTCACTTTAAGTGCGATTGTAAAAGTGTTTTGGTTTTTATAAAATTTCTCTGCAACTATCACTAGTTAGCATCTTTTGATGTAAAAACGTTTTTTTTTGGGTTGAATCAAATTTAGCATTCATTCAAAAAAAAAAAAAAAAAAATGTCAAATACAGTAGGTAAAAATTTCTTGACATTATTAAAATCATTGAAAAATATATAAATCTATCTAATGGGGATAAAAATCTCTTATTAAGTCTTAATTAAGAGATATACTTTTTTTCCACGACGATTGGGGTTTGTCTACCGTCACCGATCCACGAGAGTATCGAACACGAAATCTGAACCGTCCATTAAACTCATACATCCGACGTGGCAATTAACTGTATTTAAAATTCGTTTTTGCGTCCGAATCCTTATAGAAATCGGAGCGTTGGTATTCATTCTGATTCGAACGAAATAAAATAAAAAAAGTTATAAACAAAAAAAAAGCTCAGTGCTTTGAGTCTTTGGATAGCGAGGTGAGATTCCAAAGTCTTCTCCTTTTCGAACCTCTTTTGAACACTGTGAGCTTGCTTTGTTTGATTTTAGCTTTTGAATCTTTCGGGCTTCGTCTGAATTCGCATGTGGGTTTTTAGTTTTCAATGTTGTCTTGCTTCTTTAAGTCGCGTTTAGGGTTTGTATTTGCGTTCTCTCTGATTTGCGAATTTGTGCTGAGAAGCGTACGAATTTGAGATTGGAGAGAGAGAGAGAGTAATCTGGATTTCTGTATTAGCTCTTGGATTTTCTGTGAGTTGCAGCGTAGTTGTGGTTTGGATCTAAATCTATGTTCTTTTTTTCTCACAAAGTTTTCAAATTTACGATAAATTTGGCTACACTTCTTTTTAGATTTGGACTGAATCTTTATGAACTTATTTGGATGCTATTTCCTCTCACAATTGGAACTTTTTTGTTTAATTCGATTCCTCGTGTTAGAGCCTGTTGCAGTTTTACATATGGAATGCAATAAATTTTACATATTGCGACGAGTTTGTTCCTTCTCTGAATTCTTTATTCGGTTGGTTTGTCGGATTTGGAATTCATCTGGTGATACCTGTTTTGGGTTATGTAACCCTTATTTCGGATGACTTTATTTCAGAAATCGTGTCCAAACTGCCCCTCTTTGTGAAGTTTTTGATTCTGTACTTAAATTTTCCACAGCCTTTTCGTGTTTCTGGTTTTGAAGATCTACTGAAAACTGGGTTAACGATGGGGGAAGAAGATACAAAAGTCACCGTGGAGCCAACAGCAAATGGGACTAGTTCTCTTCAAAAGGCATCGGATTCAATCACTGGAAAACAAGCGGATAGTGGCAAGGAAACACAGGTAAACAAGAAAGATGAGGATACTGGACCTGAGAAAATGGAGATAGATGATGAGATCAAGCAACATGAAGGAAAAAAGGATATGGAAGATATAGAGGCGGATGTTACAGAAAAGGAAAAGAAAGTTGAGACTGAGAAAAAAGTTGAGAACGATGTCAACGAAGTCAGTGAGCAAGTAGAGACTGCTAAAATGGACGAAGACAAGGGACAACCAGAAGCTGATAAAATAGATGAAGACACAGATGGCAAGAAGTTGGAAGCTGATGATGGTGTTTCTGGAGGTGCTACAGAGGAAGATACTGTAATGAAGGAAGCTGTGGAGTCTGATGACACTAAAGACATAAAAGGAAATCAAGGGGTGAACGAGATGAATACTACTGAAGGAGGCCAAGAGAAAACTGAGAAAGAATCAGAGGAGGAGAAACTAGAAGGAGGGAAAGTAGGTGGAAACGAAAAAGGGAATAAAGAAGACATCAAAGAAGAAGAGAAGTTGGTCGGTGGAGACAAGGGGGACAATGTCGATGAGGATGAAAAGGTGGAGAATGTGGATAAAAATAACAAAGAAGAGGCACCAAAAGAAAAGAATGAGGGCGAACTGGAAGAAGAAGAAACAACTAAAGAAGAGGCAGTGGAGGCAGACGCTGAGGTCGATGAGCCGAAAGTGGAAGACGAAAAAACAAAGAGTAAGGACGAGAATGAAAATGATATAGATGACAACAAGAATGAGAATGAAGGTGAAGAGGAGGAGAAAAAGCACGAGAAGGAAGATGATAAAGAAGAGCGCATGGATGATAAGGATGATGAAAAAGAGGAGAGCAATGATGATAAGGAAGAAGAAAATGAAGATAGCAAAAAGTCTAGCAAGCGAGGGAAAGGGAAGACTGAGAAGACTCGCGGAAAGAAAAAGACTGAGGAAGAAAAGAAGGATACTGAACCTAAGACTCCTTACTCTGATCGCCCTGTCCGTGAGCGAAAATCTGTTGAAAGGCTTGTCGCGGTGATTGATAAAGATTCTTCAAAGGAACTCCATATTGAAAAGGTTTGCCAATTATTCCTGTGTTTGGTCTCTATAGTGTTCAATTGTTAGATCTGATTATGATTTACTTTTGGATATTGCAGGGAAAAGGAACCCCTCTCAAAGATATCCCCAATGGTATGTTCGTATTCTAAATAACTATTTTCAAAGTTCCTCTCAGCCTAATCTGTCATTGTGTTGAACAGTCTTTTTGGCCTAGCTTTTCTTAGGATTATTGCTAGAGCACAGATTCCGTTCCTAATAGTAGATTTCCCTATGTGATTCTCTTTTTTTTTTTTTGTTAAACAAAGTTTCTGCAAGCTGAAGTACTGGTGGCATTGATTTTTCTAATACAGATTTATTGTGTAGGGTTGATATTTTTTCTTTCTCTGGCTAAGTGTGAATTTTTTTTCTTCTTTTTCTGGCTTTGTGTGTACATTTTGCGAGATGTTTTCCTTTTTCGTTTGATTAGGGCTGATTTAAAGGCAAGAATTCCCATGGATTTGAAGTTGATTGTCATGACCATACTGTATTTTTAAATACTTTATTGTTTCCATCTACTCAATAGTATATGTGCACTTGAAATGAAGTTGTATATGTTTCTCTGCAGTTGCTTACAAGATATCAAAGAGGAAGTCTGATGAAGTTTTCAAGCAGCTGCACACAATTCTATTTGGTGGAAAAAGAGTAAAAGTGAGCATCTCTTTGTACCTTTTTGTATTCTGCCACCCCATTAGACAATGCATGTTTTTGTAGGGATTCTAATGCCGTTTAAAATTCTTAACAGTAGCATCCATTGCTATCCTCAAGATTGCAGAGAGTCTGCTAATCATGTTTATATGTGACTCGATTTTCTTGCTTTGACAGGCTGCTCAGATCAAGACAAACATATTGCGCTTTTCTGGTTACAAATGGCAAGGAAATGAGGTGAGCGACATAATGCATTAAGACTGTTCTACATATGCTCATCTCAATAGGCGTACATAATTTTTTCCCAAATGGTATTTGGCAGGAAAAGGCAAAAGATAAAGTAAAAGAAAAACTTGACAAATGCAACAAAGAAAAGTTGCTGGAGTTTTGCGATATCTTTGACATATCAGTTGCCAAGACTACAATAAAGAAGGTTATTATAGTTGTTCGTTGAAGTTCTCGTTCCTCAAGAGTTTTCTTTTTGTCATGAATGAATGGGCATCCTGTTGGGGGTTAATGTCACTGTATTTTTTCTAGTGTAATCAGCTTGGTAACTGATAGTCTAGTATTTTTCCTCAAATACAGGAAGACATCGTTGCAAAGTTGTTTGAGTTTCTAGAAAAACCTCACGCGACAATTGATGAGAAGGTAACTACGGTTTTTGTTCTACACTTGAGCTTGAAATGTTTTTGTGCGTATAACAATTTTTTAAAAATTCTTTGTGTAAAGGGAACGAAGCGCAAAAGAACTCCTAAAAAAAGTTCACCTGCAGCTGGAAGTTCATCTTCAAAACGATCAGCAAAGGTATTATTCAATAGCTTGGAACTGGAGCTTTGAACCCTTTGTGTTAGAAACTGTGAAGAGAATGCGTATGGCGGTTTAATGCATTTTGTTGCTGTCGTTTATGGCCTCAGTGTCCGTACCTGAAATCTGATTAATTTCTTTGTGTGTTCTTTGCAGAGCCAAAAAAAGACCGAGGAAGAACATCATTCTGATGATGAGTCGGAAGAAGAGAAAGAGGAAGAAGAAGAAGAAGAGAAAAGGCAGGAGGCAGAGGAGGAAGAAGAGAAAGAGCAGGAGGCAGAGGAGGAGAATGAAAATGGTATTCCTGATAAATCTGAGGACGAGGCGTCAGAAAGTGAGGAGAAAGTTGAATCTGATGAGGAGTCAGAGGAAGAAACCAAAAAGAAGAAATCGAGAACATCATCTGGAAAGAAAGAATCAGCAGGGAGATCCAGAAGCAAGAAAGCTGCAGTCTCTACGAAATCCAGTCCACCAAAGAAAGCTACTCAAAAGCGCTCAGCAGGAAAACGAAAGAAGAGTGATGACGACAATGACGCAAGTCCAAAGGTATCCTCTAAGAGGAAGAAGACTGAAAAACCGGCCAAGGAGCAGTCCTTGGTTCCTTCAAAAACTGCATCAAAAGAGAAACCAGGTTTGGTCATATCCTACTTTAAAAGAAAAAAAATATTTCATTAAGAATGAAGCACATGTGAGTACATGCTTTGTCAGAAGCTTGGGAAATCCTAATTCTTGATTTTATGCAGTTTCTTGTTTTTTCTGACACTATTATCTGTGTTTGCTTCTCTTGTTTATCTACTAATAGGAAAAAGAGGCGGAAAAGGGAAAGACAAAACCAAGGAGCCTAGTGATGAAGAGCTGAAAATCGCAATTGTTGATATTTTGAAAGAGGTGGACTTCAACACGGTGAGGATTTGAACCATGAAACATCTGTGTCATGACATTACTCTAATTGAGCTTAGCGATATCTAACAAATGCTTTATCATTTTTCTGACAGGCCACGTTTACCGATATCCTCAAACGACTAGGTATGAGCAGATGAGATTGTTTCATAGCAGTTCTTTTCTTGACTGATGATCCTGCATATTGTTTCTGTTTTTTTTGGGTGACATGCATTTGTTTTTGCACATTCTTTCAGGTACGAAGTTCAACCTCGATCTGACCTCAAAAAAGTCATCGATAAAGATGATGATCCAAACTGAGCTCACTAAGCTAGCAGAAGAAGGCGATGATGAGGAAGGACAAGAAGAAGAGGATGCTGAGAAAGAGGAAGTAGAAGAGAAAGCCGGAGGATCTGGTGGTGGAGAGAAGGTTAAAGCATGATCACGAAGCACATAAATCTAGTGTAGCTACTATTTAATCTTCAAGTGGTCTCTCTCCTCCATTTGCCTATCGTCAGTCATTAGGCAAAAATATTATCAGTATGTAATTTGTTAGTTGTTTTTTGGCCTGGAACTATGCTACAAGTAGGTTTTTTGTTTTTACTTTTGGTAATCAGAGAGAGGAAGAAGCTGATGGGTAGTAGGAGTTTTCAGTATAAGCAGCTTTGTTTGTGTATACGATTTAACATAAAGCCTCATTAGGATTCATGCCCTTCTTAAAACACCCTTTTGGTTTATGGATATTTGTTTAAACGTCCTCTGCTTATCTCACGGTGTTTCTTCTCTGCAATTTATTACTTTGCTTATCTTTGGTTCAGGAGTAAGCGAGACCATTGAACTTTACAATCAAACCAAGAGCAACCACGAGTGTGCCACATTGATAGATGGCAGAGAAAGATGAGATACAAGAACAGAGAAAAAAATAAGAGATACAAGAAAAGAATTCATCCAAACAAATATAAAGAAAATAAACTAAAAGAAACCTATTCTACGAAATCAAGCAAGGAACAAGGATTGTGTCAAACGGTTAGG